CTTCATGGATTTGGCCATGTTTGGTCTGTTCCATCCTCATGGAGAAGAGTTTATTGTTCTTCTGACTTCAAAATTAATGTGAGTTCTGCTCCAAAATCTAGAAAGATGAAAAATTATAGGCAGTATCTGTAGGTTGATAGGAAACCTTGTAAGATAACAAATTACATTGAGAGGATGTGATGCCACATAGTGTGGTAGATGGTTGCCAGTGTTTCATGGGAATCTGCAGGTTAGAGGCAGAGAAGTAGGGGTGGAGGCTGTAGGATATCTATGGCAGTAATTTAAACACACAAGATTACTGAAGCTGATAAAATCATCCTGGGTGACCAGTTACAGAAATTCAGATTTCAGGTCCACTCCTTTGGTGACCTCGTCTGTCTCCATTGACGACGACACAGTCTCTGAAATATTGGCCTTCAACTCCAAATTTATGCTGCAGGTTAAGAGAATAGTTCCTCAATTTAAAGTAATTTCTTTGTGGTATAAGTTTGTTTACCTCTCGAAAGCACAGTGGTGTACCACCTGCTTTAGCATCCTGAAATTTTGCATTCAGGTTTCAGTGTATTTATGCAGTTCTTTGTTGCTGTCTTAATAAGCAGTGGTATATACAGCAGCATTAACCATTTTGTCTTTGTAATGGACACAAGAGTGTTTCTTTGAGATAGGAACTGAATATTTAAATATTGTTTAGATGACCTTTTTGGTCAGAGCATTAATTTACAAGAAAAAATACCGAAATGTGCATGTTGTATTAAATGCTTGAATCTGTTTTCATGTTTTATGCCTTGTATTACAACATAACTTGGAGAAGTCACATCTTTTAGTTCCTTTTCTTCTTCTCTTATATAACAGCAGTTGTGACGGAATTGAAAGATGCCATTGAAGTAATGTGTGATTATTGTTACTCCTCATTAGGTATTGTACGTACTTAAAGGAAGTGAATAAAATATTTCATACTTACTAAATTCATTCAAGTTGGGATACCCATGAACCTAGTTAGGTTGATTAAAATGTGTTTAAACAAAACATATAGTAAAGTTCGTGTAGGTAAATATTTGTGTGATAAATTTCCTATCCAGAATGGTCTAAAACAAGGAAATGCTTTATCTCCACTTCTTTTCAACTTTGCTTTAGAATATGCCATTAGGAAGGTCCAGGGANCCAGGTGGGACTGAAACTAAACGGGACACACCAGCTCTTGTTTTATGCCGATGATGTGAATCTACTGGGTGATAATGTAGATACCATAAAGGAAAACACGCTTAACTTTAATTGATGCAAGTAAACAGGTTGGTCTAGAAGTAAACACAGAGAAAACTAAGTATACGTTGCTGTCTCATCACCAAAATGCAGGGCAAAATCATGACATAAAGATAGGTAACAGATATTTTGAAAATGTGGCACGATTCAGATATTTGGGAACAACGATAACAGATCAAAACCTGATTCAGGAGGAAATTAAGAGGAGATTGAACTCAGGTAATGCTTGCTACCATTCAGTCCAGAACCTTTTGTATTCTCGTCTGCTATCCAAAAACATAAAAATTAGAATATACAAAACTATAATTTTGCCTGTGGTTCTGTATGGGTGTGAAACTTGGTCTCTGACAATATATGTAAGATAAACACCGTCTTAAGTGTAACAATTTAACTCCACACTACATGTGAGGGGAAGAAGAAAGAACTAAATTAAATTGTTACACTTAAGACGGTGTTTATCTTACATATATTGTCAGAGACCAAGTTTCACACCCATACAGAACCACAGGCAAAATTAATTACACTTAAGACGGTGTTTATCTTAGATATATTGTGCGAGTGTAACAGGATGCTCAAATATAATATTGGTCTCTGACATTAAAACCGGAAGGAACATAGACTCAGGCTGTTGAGGAGAATATTTGGACTGAAGAGAGATGAAGTGGCAGGAGGTTGGAGAAAACTGCATAATGAGGAGCTTCATAGCTTGTACTCTTCTCCAAGTATAATTAGAATGGTTAAATCAAGGAGGTAGAGCTGGGCAGGTCATGGGGGGAGACGAATGTGTATAGGATATTGGTGGGAAAGCCAGAAGGAAAGGGACCACAGGGAAGACCAAGGCGTAGGTGGGTGGACAATATTGGAATGGATCTTAGAGAGATAGGATGGGATGGGATGGATTGGATAGATCTGGCTCAGGATAGGAACAATTGGAGGGCTCTTGTGAACACGGTAATGAACGTAATGTGGTTAACACCACATATACACGGCGCCAAAGCCCAGAAGACTGCTTTCTTCACGGTAATGAACCTTCGGGTTCTGTAAAATGCTGGGAAGTTCTTGAGTAGCTGCAGAATTGGCGGCTCCTCCAGAAGTGCTCAGCTCCGTGATAAAATAAGTAAGTAATACATTTTGACTGCTACATTTTAGTATAGTGTTAGGGGCAGATGATATTTCAGTGTTCTCCTGTGTTAGATACCCTGAAAGATGAAATGAAAGTTACATGTAACTGCTACATTTTAGTATAGTGTTAGGGGCAGATGACATTTCAGTGTTCTTCTGTGTTAGATACCCGGAAAGATTAAATGAAAGTTACATGTAACACTTGTGTCTTTGTTGTTCTGACAGCTGTAGTCCACCCTAAGGAACATCAGCAACTTGGGTACCTTACTTTTTGTCTGAGTTGTAAAATTGCTATAGAAGCAGAGCATTATTTCTACATTTGTAGAAGGTCTAGATGTGACTTCTAAAAATCACATAATAGTTTTGTTTTCTAGGGAGAAATTCCACTGTTGAGTATTTTGCTTGTAGTGTATTTTATGGAGTGGGAGGGGTAAGGGAACAAATATGGATGTGAAGAATGTGGTCTTCTGGGTTGTATGTAACATCATGTAGTTCAGAGAGGACTCAATATGTAGGAGGAACATATTGTCTCCTTCTTCAAGGACAGGGTGTAGACCATGTAAAAAATAAGTAGAATCAGGTTAGCCTTCTGCTTTTGCTGGTTTCTTGCTTGGCTTAATTTTCAGCTGTGAAAATGGCGCCGAAATGTTCCTTCAAAATGTCAGGCTGTTCTTGAACTCGGTGTTAAACCCAGAAGACTATGCACTTTGTAATCACCTCCTTGAGAACATGAAATCAAAAATACGGGTGTGTTTCTTTCTCAATAAGCTGAGTTCCAGTTTGATTGTTGTCTTGTAAACAATTGTTACTGTGCGTGCGTGCATGTAGTTCAAAGAAGGGCGACATTGTATATACACATGCACACACACATAATGTTGCCCTTCCTAGAACTTTTATTTCACACGAAAACAGTAGAATTTAAAATTTGTTAAGTGGGTGTTCAAAAAAATTTCAGTTTGTATTTCGAAGGCTACATTATCTGATTATAAGTTTTTTTGAAGATTATAAATTTTGTAATTTTGAAGTTTGATATTTTAGTCAGACTATATTAAATGTCATTAAAGGATTCATAACATACATTTATTCTGGTGGGGATAATTTAATATATGTACATTTTTTGTAAGTATATTTTTACTACTAAGAGCTGGGTTAGCAGAGTTTGTATCGTGACTGGCTACAGGCTGGATGATGCAGGGGTTGGAGTTCAAGTCCCAGTGGAGGCAAGAATTTTGACTTCTCCATGTTGTCCAGANTCCACTCCCCGATACACCTTCATGGCATAGTGCTTAATTAGTTATGCACAGGGACAGCTTTACCTTTTTAATTTTACTACTAGGGAGCTGGGATAGCAAAGCCGGTATAGCATCTGGCGACATGCTGGGCGCCTAAGGGTCAGAGTTCTAGTCCTGGTAAGGACAAAATTTTTCTTCTTATCACATTGTCCAGGCCAGTTCTGGGGCTACGCCAGCTTCCTATCCAATGGGTACTGGGGCTTCCTTCCCTGCAGTTTAAGAGGCCGTGGTGTGAAGCTGACAGTTTACCTCCAACTAGTACAGAGGTTAAAGAATACATGGATCTGTGCATCCATTCGCCCAAACATGACATGATATAGTGCTTAATTAGTTAAGTAAGTTACCTTACTTTTGCTGCTCACATGACCTTCAAGAAGAACAGTTATTGCATAATAGTGGTCAGTATGCAGGCATATTATACATTACATACATATCAGTGTATTTGCTTGGAGACAGAATATTGGACCAAGATTTTGAGAAAGTTATTTCATGCAATTCATGTGCTGTGAAATTTAAGTCGTTTTACAAATCTTGCTTTATATTGAAGAATGTATTTTGGAGGATCAGTATTTGGAACACTAGCCACAGTTGATTTGAAATAAAACATCAGTGCTGTAGAACAGCAAGATTTGACATTCAGTATGTGTGGCATTTATCCAATTAAACTGGCCAGTGTTTGAAAACTAGTGCAATGTTTTCATACCCTCTCGTTTCAGTATCCATTTTTGTCCAATCACTGCATGGTTTTATCACAGAATCTGACTCTGTCAACTGTTCTCTATAAATTAACAATTTTGTGCTTTGAAATAACGTTGTAACCTTTTCATTTAGTATCAGTGGGCCTATAGACCTTTGTGCCATGCCCTGTACCATTGAGAAGCTGCTGTTTCTCGGTGATCAAAGATATAGTCTTCTATAAGCCATAATAGTTTTAACTGGATACTCATATTTTTTATTTGTTCTCTGATAACATTGTTTCAAGTGGTGTCAAATTTATAGGTGGCTTTGTTTGACAGTTCACATTAAATGGTGGTACTCCACTTATGGAGGATTTTAATGTAAATGGTTAAGTAATTGTTCAGAAGGATGCTGTGTTTTGTTACCACTGTTTCGCTGACTGTTACCAGCAATCACATTTCTCATATTTTTATATTACATTATAAGTAACATCAAGAAGAACACAGCATGAACACATAAATATGAGGGTGTGTAATATCTGATCCAGCTGAATGGCACAAAGGTATGTTTATGATGATGGCCGGTTGGATATTGCGGGTTATTGGAGCCAACATGAATTTTGGATTGCGCGTTGTTGTATGTTTGCAGGAAGCAAAGAATGCAGTGGGAACCCTGAGGGAGGGAGCCTTCCCACCTCAGCCCCCACCAGCCCAACCAGTGGGGTCGGGGCAGGGGCAGGGGCAGGGACCGGGATCCCACCCAATGGGAATGCAACCTTGCTAGCACGGAACCCCTTGCGAGGATCAAAGTGTAATCTCTCTGTCTATCTTTCTGTCAGTCAGTTGACTGTAATCCATTTTCAGAATAAGCCTGAGGATTGTTAGGGTTCCGACTGTTCTTGCTGTTGTTTGCTTCATCTTTGTTGTATTCCACTGTCATACTTTGCTTGATGTGGCTTCACTCTATGTGCCACAGTGGTGTTCAGCTTGGGCTTTTTTGTCTTTATATCTCACATTTAGATTTTCTTTTCTTCACTGCTTTGGTTTTGTTGCCTTTCTTGTGTTGTGCTGTATGACTGGGTCTTCATTTGATGCACATTCATTATAACGTGTTCCTTATAATAAAGTTTATAAAAGAGGGATTTACGTTTGAAATTTAACTGTCATCTTTGCAGGAGCAGATTTTCCCCCGTTTTTTCTTTTGTGACATACATTCTGATGTATTCTTTTAAACACAGCTGATTATACAGGGAGATGCAAATTATTTCTAATTGCTTTTACTGTATTTCTCTCTTTGAGGGAGAACAGAATTATAGCAGAATGGACTTTTCTTAACTTCCATAAAGGAAGCTGAAGAAATGTGGACATTTTTCAGCTTTATTATGCAGAAACATGACATATTTTTATTGGCAAGTATGCACTTTACTGTTGTCTACAGAGTAAGTAAAAATTAACTAACACTTGTGCAATTCATTGCACGACTAGTTATTTGGTAATAGATTGTATAATTGAATGTGTAGGATTTTGAGGCCATTCTGCTACATGCTGTTAGAACCTTAGGAAAATGGAGGAATTGCTTTCCCCTGTGATCAAAATTATTATGTTGCACATAAACATGCATCATTGTCAGAAATTGTTAATTTGTTTGTATGTATTTTTGTGGAGTAGCAGTATGATTTAAGTACATTCTTATTACAGCTTTCAAAATATTGCAGGCCATGAATTTGTGTTAAAATTTTGATTTTGAAATGTCTCTGTAACTTAAAAATAATTATCATTGTAATCTCAGACATGACATTTACCCCAGTGTCTAAAATGTTATGAAATTTGATAACTTTGATAACAGATAGCAAAATTATAGATTTGCTTTCTGTTGTAAGCAGTGGGATGTTTGGAAAATTAAAAGCATTACAATTTTTGTGCAGACATTTAAAAGTGCAGAGTCTGATGAATAAGAAATGGTGTGCCTGGCCACTGTTGCTAAGCATGGTGGGAAGCATTCAGCTTTGTTCCAGTCATTTAAGCCAGTGGTCTGTTTTCCCACCCCATCCCCTTTTCTAGTTAAAACTTCAAGGAAAGGATGTGGTATTTATTTCAGTATGAATTTATATTGATTTCTCTTAGAACTTCATTAAATAATACATGTTCCTACACCTTTAAAAGTATTTTTAATGTAAAATTAAATTAAAGTTCTGTATTTGAAAGGAATGATTGAAACCATGCAACTTGATCATGCAAAATTTTAGATACCTGTTGAGCCTGGTTACCTTTTGCAGATTATAGGCCATAACATTTTTAAGAACACAGAATCACGCCTTTTTTTAATAATTTGGCACTTGTCTATGTTCAGTTACTAATTTGAATGTGTATTTAATTAAGTACATTTTAGAACAGTTTTATTGTATGATGAATTCACATCTCTGATTGTGTCTAGAATAGCATATTAATAAGTGCAATAAATAAAGGAAGTGTAAAGGTTAATTTTGGATGACATGTAGTGTAAATATACAATTTTGTTGTAGTTATGTTGCAAATATGAGTAATAATTGTGTTACTTGATAAATTTACAAAAAATTGCAGTTGCATGGTATACAGTTAACCAGGTTATGCATATACAACACTTAAAAAGTAATTAATGATCAGAAATTTAATTAATGGTGCACTTAAATTTAATCTGATATAATATGTTTATGGTAGTTTCTGTGCATCTACTCTTTTCTGTGTTTTTCTTAGCAGATATGTATATCTCCATACAAGAGAGCAGACCATTCAGCTTTGCAATGCAATTCACTGTGCAGAAAACAATAGAATGTTTCTATTTTGTTTCCACCTGAAGTGTTCACACATCTGTGTATCTTCCTCTTCAGATCTTACCGAGCCCTATAATTCGCAAAACCTTATCCATTATGTCTCACCCTACACTTTTTACATTTGAAATGATTCCAGTGTTGGCGGGATGTGTTGCAATCCCTTTAATATTAAGCTGTCATATCTCTGTCTGTTATGGGGTCCTGTATGTGTTTTATGTTGTGATTCTCTTATTGGTGTCATTTATTAATATTATATTGATACCATACATAATCGAAACCCATCCTGATCATGTTGGGTATCAGTATGTCTGTGCTGTATTGTATGACATCTTTAGTTTACTGTGTCCTGAAAACTGACCTATTATTGTTTTGTTTCCTTTTTCTTGCTGACCAAATGCGTGGAAAACAGGGGAATCTCCAACTCGGTCTTCTTATTCTAGTCTCTCGTCTTGGACTACAGGTGTCTTATGTTTCCTGCTAGCTCTAGCTCTCTCTCACTTGGTGCACTTGCTTGGCTGTAGTCGCCCTCGACTATACAGATGGATTATCAAAATAAGAGTAATTCTCTGGCCAGTTGAGCACTACCAAAGAATTACAAAGCTTTCCACGCAAATGGTATTCTAATATCACAGGTCCACAAGCCACTCTCAGCTGGATTTTGTTGCAAAGACTAAAGAAGAATGATGTTAATACAGTGATATTTTCATACAATGATGCAATTGTACTAAAATCTTTTATATATTAAATAAATTTGATCTGACTCTCTGTTTGCATATGACCTGATGTTGATTTCCATGTCATATTACTAAGGAGACTCAGAATTTGGTTCTCCCATTTAAATGTGATAGCGGAGTGTTGCTTATGGAAGAAGTGTTAAACAGATGATACTTAAGGGTTTGGTATCTGGAAAGGATTACTGAAGGTTTTTGTGTCCTGACCCCAGTATATACATAACAGAGCACAAATCATTAGGTTTAGATTAGAAAGGGATAGGCATTATATGTTCAGGTGCCACAACCACCTTCAACATGTTTTGTGTTTCCTTTCAGAGATTTAGTTCTCCACAAATCCTTCGTAGTAGCTTGCTTAGTGGGGCATTATGATTGTCACTTGGTTTGATGAAGTGAATACCCTTCTATGAAATCTTAATAGTAGTCATAGTGAAGGCATATACAATTGTATGAATTGTAAGTGAAAACTGTTACACTGTAACACAAATATAAACTTGAACAAAATTTGTCTGAGAAAGAAACTCTTTATCAAAATGTGCAAACATGAAAATACCAATAAATAATGAAGCAGCCAGGAAGACACAACACAAGTTCAAACATTACACACAAAGAATGAAGTGTAGAACTATAAACAACTATCAGAACATATAAAACAATACAGTGATATAAGATAACACATTATTTACACATTACAGTTGAGTATGAGTATGAGGGGTGAGCCATAAGACTGGCCCTAGCACTGAGACCTTCAATGGTCTATTTCACATTTCAGTTAATTCACCACAAATGAAATGCAGCGCAGCTAAATCCAACAATGACAAATACTCTCAAGCAGATATCTTTTAAATGAATGGACGATGACCACAATGTAAATAACATGAAGATGTTTATTAATTTTAATTCCAAGCTTGCTTAATTTTAATTAGGAAATGATGCATTCACATGATATATGTAACTTTGACACACAGCTTTAACAAGGTAGACAACACCTGATGGTTGCCATATATGGCTGAAATATGTGGTGAAGAAGTAGGGCAACTAGATAATAAGATGCATTAAAATGGAAATATGTATGTAAGATCATTTCAAATGCAAGAGTTAAGTATCAGGGTTATACAACACATGTTTGAAATTTCCACCATTAGACTATATGCATGCTGCCATTGGTGTTGCCAGTGAATGTTGCCACAGCATGCATCCCAGTTTGTTTCTGATACCAGCAGCGACTTGGCCTCTACTAACTGCTGCCTGGCTTCTACTGGTTTACCACCCTGATACGCTCTTGACTTCATGCAACCGTAAAGAAAGAAATCTGATGAGTTTAAGTCACAAGACCAAGTAGACCAAGCCACTGGTCCGCCTCTTCCTATCCATATTCATTCAAAAATCACATTATTCTGCTGAAATGCAGATGTTCTCCATCATGATGTGGCCACATATATCTTTATGCTGCAAGAGGCACATCCTATAAATGCAGTGGTAATTAATTTTATAGAAAATTCGTGTAATATGGCACTGTTAACCATCCCTTGATAACATGTCAGATTAGGTTTAATACTCCACACCACATGCTAACTGAAAATTGGCATTGAAAATGACATTCTGCTACCTCGTGTGGATTTTCATACACCTTAGAGTGTGAATTAATTGTGTTGGTAATACTGTCCTGGGGAAATTGAGCTTCATCTGTGCGCAGAATGTCATTAAGAATGTGTAGCCACGGTTGGAGCCATCGACAGACTCCTGCACAGTAAGAGATGTATGGATAGAGACTGTTGTGGTGCAGAATTAACCATACTTGTGTCCATGCCACTTCAGCTTCCAGCACATCATCATTCATGTTCTGCATTTGTTCATGGGAAGAAACCAGTCTCCCTCACACTTCTCTGTACATTCTCAAATATTTTTTGATGTTGAGTTCTGCAAGGCAGATGTCGTTGCCAGTGTTCCACCAGGTAGCCCTACCAGTTCCACTGCAAAGACTATATATGAAATGCATGTCTTCATTTTTAAACGTGTTAGGCATTTTGCCTATCACTGCACTGCAAAACAACAAAGCCACACTAGCCTAGATAATGTACAAGCAGGAACACAGTTAAGTTACAGGTGTTCCAGCTCACTTCACTAGTGCTTAACTCAATAACAGTGTTGAATCTACCCGTAGTTTTTTTATGCATTTAATGCGCCAAATGACTCAGAACATGCTCTCGAAGTTTGGTTAGTACTTTGCAGAACATTCTGTATGTACTGTATGTGTAATGAAGTCCAAGTAAAATGACAGTTGAAGACACTAGCCACTCACAGTACTACTTCAGTTCAAATTGTTTTTCCTTTCTCAGTTTTGTGCCCAGTATTACATTTCCTTCGATTGTTTTCTTTATGTTTGTTTTGAGGTTGTATCAGTAATTTTCTGAAATCAAAAGGACTGTGTGAACAGGAAAGTTTTGGGAATTTATTCCTTGAAGCCATGAATCTTGACCACTTTACTTATGTGCAAGACACACCTGTATGTTGCTCACTTGCAAAGTCACAGATATTGAGACATAAATGGTAAGAGAATAATCTGCAGATATACTTCTGATTAGCAATTATAACAACTGGCATTATGATTATGTGACTTGCTTTCAGTAGCAAGTTTTATTACTTGATTTTTTTTGGGTGTACCTGGTTGAATACATAAATATTAAAAATCAGTGAATTGTTTATAGTGGTTAAGTTTGTGTATTGTTTGGGTTATATAATTCTTTCATTGAGTGGTATATTTTTATTTTTTTCAGGAATTTAATCCTTTCACTGACTAGGACATAACTGTTCTGTCCACGGGGGTTGTGAAAATGGAGTAAAGGAGAACAGAAAGAGAGAGGTGAAAGTTGGTAAAACTGGTGTGTAGGTGTCAGAAGGAAGTCTGAATATTGGGTGGGAGGGGTATGGATAAAGAAGGGAAGGTGGGGTAAAGTTATAATTGAAATAAGAGGGTACAGATGGAATTAGGATTACAGGCAAAGGGTAAGAAATAAGATGTGATGGAAAAATTTCCGGCACCTGAAGCGGAGTTGATGTGCTGTTTAAAGTACCTGAGGTCTGTAAATTTGTGGGTGTGCATACTTTGTAATTATACACATCTTTCAGTTGCTCTTTTTCACTCACTTTAAGTACTCAAGGTAGTGCAGTGAGGATTTGGGATAGTGGAGATGATGAGTAACAGTGCATAGAGAGGAAGAAGTAGGGTGATGAAGGTAGTGGTAAACAGATGAAGAGAGGTAAGAGAAGAAATGTATGAAGTGAGGTGGGAGAACTAGCATTTATGCAAGAATGGGAAATGACTGATATTTGGAAACTAACATGTTCATTAAGGCTCATATGCATCATATAAGTGGATTGGGTAAATGACAGTTTCATATTCAAGAGAAGAGTTAATTGTTATTATTTTATGTGAATTCTGTTCAAGTGCTTTCTTCAAAAAATATATGTGCTTCTGTAATGTTGTATAAGGTACATATAGGTTGTAAGTCATACGAAAAGGCTGGCATATACCTGGAAGTAATACTTATCTGTTATGTGTGGAAATTGTATATAAGAAAAAAAGTTGAAAAACACAAAACTTTCAGTAACCTTTCATACACTATTCACTTTTGTTATACTGAGTATCTATTCTGTGCATTGATTATATGTTGAATTTAATTTTCAGTTATGCTCTACTTTCATTTTTCTGCCAAAAGTCTCTACTGTTGGTTCCCAAGCACATGCACTGTAGTAGCTTTCGTCCTGTTGCTTAGTGGATTGTGGGAATTGTATGGATAGAATAAACTATTTAGAAACTGCATCCAAAGTGTATGCCTATTGAAACTGAAATTCTCGGAATTTGAATTGTTAACATTGAAACTGTTTGGATGAAATAAAATTGGAATGAAAAAATATATGTATATCTTTACTGGATGCAGACATCTATTCCTGCAATTTCCTTCTAACGTAAGTTTGAACCCACATTATAGCTTCATAAACAGTTACACGTTCTTACATCTCCATAAAAAATCCATGGTCTTATTTCCCAAGTAATATGGTATGTGTAGAAGTACTTTCTATATTAGCAAACACATGTAATTTTGTTTCCTTGCTTTTCAATTTAATTTTTAAATGGGCTGCATTTTGTGGTATACATGTTGATAATATGTGTATGAATGCTTGAAATTTTAAGTGCTTTCTTATTTTCTCTGGCTGATATCTCTTATTTAATATTACTAGTTTGTGTGATAAAACTGCAGTCTTTAACTGAATGTGCCATCAGTACTGAATTATATTCCAAATTCTTGTTCATGAAATATATAGAACTGTAAGTAGAATTTCAGTCACCATATCACATTAAATTTAAGAAAGGCATTCAGTTGTCAGTAAGATATTTCAAACTCTTGGATTGTTTAATATCTGTATTTCCAGTTTACAACTAATACCATATTTCAATTTACAGGGTTCCTGAGAAGTAGAAGAGAGAAACGTAAAGAAAAGAAAGCAAAAAAGAAAAAGGATGGGTCAGATAATACAAGCAGCAAGGAAGATAAGTCAGACCTGTAAGTTCTTGACATGGTTATTTCAATTTATTAATTTTTATGCGGTGAATGTAGTGATATCCTTTACTGTCGCTGGGGTTATATTGAAAACAAAGTGTCAGTCAAATTTCTCACATTTACAGCTTTTGAAGTATGAGAGTCCTGCAGGAGGATTTTGATCGAAACTTATGTTTATTCTTCACAGGCTGTGTCTTTATTTCTTAATGGGAGCTCCATGACACTGGAAATTATGTATGTTCCATACAGAACTTAACAAGATGACATTTTCCATTCCTTAAAGAGCGGTACAGACAGAACTGAGCTTAAACTATGGGAGATGTTTACATTGAGGCCTGTTGTATAATTCTTTTGCAGCAGCACTTATAATTGGAAATAATTGATTGCTTCCTTGAAAATCATTCTTATTTCTGAAGATTATGATCTTTTGGAATGTGATTATGTGTATGTAGGATTATAGAGTCTCTAAACAGTGGTTGTGAAGAATCAGCTGACATTTCAGATGAACATGTCACATCCATCTTCAGGGTCCAAGAATAGGCCAAGCAACAGACCAGCAAGAAGCAAGCACAGTTGTTTCATGCTCGTTTCTTGCTTGGCTTATTCTTCAATGACATTTTTCTGTGACAGTGTATTGCACAGCGTTATAGGCATATTGTAGAAGACAGAAATCTTGATTATGTATAGTTTGGTAGATAGATACTGTACCAGTTTAAATCTTGATTTTTTTTTTTTTGCGTGCTTTAATTTCTGATATATTGATTTGTTTATGTCATCTGACCAGATGTTTGTTCTGTTCAGTTCACAGAGTGTTTTAGGTTTATTTGAGCACGTGGTAGATAGAGGATTTATTTTGGAACATTAAAGGAACACATGGTAGATTCAGGGAGGTTTGTGTCATAGCAGCTGGGGTTTGTGATTGAAGAGTATGAATCTTGTTATGTCCAGTGCAAAACTGTAACAATGTCTTAGCAGTATTCCAAAAGGTTTATACTTTGGAGCTGTGTTAGTTTGACATCTATTGCCAGATATTTTTAATAGACAGTATGTTATATGTGGGTCACCCTGTCACTAGGGGGACATAAATACAGAGATCTGGTCCATCAGGTTGGAAGTTGGACACAAGACTGAATGTCTTGCTCCATGAAAAAAATGTTGCTATGAAATCTAAAGACCTAAAAACTGGGTGGTCTAGTTCACAACAGCCTTGGCATACTAAATAAGGACTTGAAAACAGGCACATGGAATGTCTTCTCATTGTACAGACCCACAACACTTAAAATGTTATTGGGCCAACTAAAAATATGTGACAGACGAACATAACTTGTATGCAGGAAATAAGATGACATGGAGCAGGTGTGATTGAGAAGACGCAATGTACAGTTTTCTATAGCTGCCACAATAAAGAGCACAAATTTGGAAAGGGCTTTGTTTTAACAAAAGGTTCTTAAGCGCACACTATTGCATTTTGAAGCAAGGATACCAAGACTTTGCTGGCTTAGGATGGAAGGAAAATTATTGAAGTATGGTATTGTCATGCTGTGGAGTGACTGCAGATGGGGTTTGGATTTCTTGAACTCTTAACAGAACATAACTGCAAGCATCTTTGATGCTGGTGTTCCCATCTTTAAAATGTTTCACCCATCTTCGAACACTGCTCGCACCCATGCACACACTTCCATAAGGATGCTGAAGTCTCTGGTGAATTTCTGCAGCAGGGATTTCCTCTTTCACAAGAAATTCGATGACAGCACGCTGGCAAAACGACGTGCTATTGTTGGCCATTTTGTTAGGAGTGATACTGGTTACGTGATGCAAGCTATTCATGTCACAAGACACTCAAGGTTAACACAACAGCTGGTTCCACCTACCACCATACTCTCTTTCATCTACTATTCCCAGGTTGCATGCGAAAAAAAGTTGCTCATGACTTTCGGTACGACCTACATACTTATTCAGAGTTTGGGATGTGCACTTTGAGTGAAAGTTTCTTTTTGGAAACAGTCAGCATATAGTTGAAGTAGAGACACTTGTGACTTCCCATTTTTTTTCCTTGGCACTACAGCCCCAGTGGGCCTAGGCCTACCTCTGTGAACTTCTCCGTTTACTTCAGTTTTTCTAGATCTTAGACATACGGTAGGACTCCTTGGGTGGATGATCAGCTTGTTGCAAGGCCTCTACCTGCACACAAACACAGAAAAACGCACACAAATATCCATGCCCTGAGTGGGATTCGAACCCACAATCCTGGTTTCAGAGCAAGCGAAGACAGTGCACGCCTTAGACCACTCAGCTACCGTGATCAGCCTTGTGACTTCCCATAGTCTCCCAAATTCTAAAGTAATGAACATAACCATTTCAGACATCGGTAAATTCCAGACTTTATTAAAGTGAAAGAAGCCTACTGTGGCATGTAGACCTGTTGCTGGGCAACAACTGTGAGATTAACAAATATACAGCAGCTATTACTAAGTAACAGCTTCACAACAAGCGTGTTTCCATGGCAACAGTTGGATAGAGCCTCAGTGGAATGGTGTTTTCTGTGTGGCCTGTATTGAGATGTTATAAGTAGAACAGGTGGTGAAGTGAAGTCAGTTGAATTGAGTTGGTTGGCGAGTTAGTGAGTTAGTTAGAGGAATGCTGAGGGTCAGTTTTTGTGAACTGTTGCTGTTAGAAGCTGGTTACTGAGGCCTGGAACTGTTCAGGAACCCAGAGGAATGGGAACATCACCCATTGGAAGACGCTACCAAGCAATGACTAGTGAAGACGTGACTGTATGACTGTGGACACTAGTGTGTGTACATGTGTGTATGTGTGTTTTTTCAATAAATCCGATTACCAATCAAAACTCATCTATTCTTATATGTGCTGCAGTGGCTACCTCTTGCTTTCAGCACAACTCGCATGTTATTTTGTGCAGGTTCTCTGTGTACGTGCCACTGCTTTTCTTTAATATGTTTGCTCAGCAAGAGGTAGCCGCTGCAGCACACGTAAGCATAGAGCAGATATCTCTGATTTTGGTTTTTAAATCTGAATTTAAATTGTAAATATTGAAGCTGAATGAGAACTTAAAATTTTAAACCAATCGACGTGTGAATATTCATAAAACACAATTGACAAAATCGACAAGGCGAGTTTTGGAATATCGGGTGCCGATTGACGACAGAAAATGAACAATTGGAAGTCTGGAATTTAAATGTTAATATTGAGTGCAGTGTGACACTTACATGAAGTGAAATACACCTGATGATGGCCGATTATGGCTGAAACATGTAGTGTGAAAGAAGGGGGACAAGAACTACAAAAAAGTGTTATGTTTATGATGGAGTTTATATTATACATATAGGAGTGTGAAATGTAACAGGATGCTTAAATATAATATAGTTACTTCCTTGTTAAGTAATTAAACAGCAACTGAATAATGAGGTATATCTAACATGAGAGTGATTAGAAGCAGAGTGAATAAACCATAAGTTCTCATCACATCAACATAGTAGTAATAGCTTATGTGTCCTGTGATACTGCCAATTCAAACAGACTCTGCTAATTGAGTTAATTGCTTTACCACAGCTAGAATATAAATTTAAACATTAAGAGAAAGGTGTGCAACTTTATACAACCACATCATCAAAGATAAATATTGTGTAGCACCCATTTGAACACGTGTTCCATGTATTTACCTTACCTGACCTTGATATCACACATATTTGATCCTGTTGTATGACAAAGGAAGGTGAAGCTGATTGCATCTGTGGGGCATAGTTGTGCAATCATTTACATTACTGACATTTTGGAGAAACCCTGCAGCCTCCTTTTTTTCAGGTAGAAGAGAAGACTCACATAACAGGATGGTACATAATATAAGGAAAGGGGGACAGGTTCCTAAACAGTAGGACTTATCTACCAAACTACACAGTGTCACATCCCAGAAGACTACTCTTCATATTCATTATTCTGAGAGCCTCAAATCTGACATTTCCATTTCTGTCTTTTTTGTAAGTGCTTATACTGCACTTCATGTGAAGTAAATAAATTCTTTGTAAGATATTTTATATTTCATAAAATCAGTTAGCCTTCTTTCATTAGGATTATAAAGTAGTTACAGGTGTAATTATGTGGGGGGGGATATGAAAATACAGTTCATTTCTCCCCCTTCACAATTATTTTAGTGCTATAAAGGACAGAGGCCATCATATGAGGCTGTAATCTTAATATTCACAACTGTAAAACCTTGCATCTTCCCCTTTTCTTTCTCTCATTTTACAAATGTTCACACCCCTCACTCTAAATATTATGTTTGTTTTATAAAGCGTTGTCATATCCTTTATGAAGTCATCTGTCGCAATGTGTACAAAGTAATGACAGGTGTAGATAACTGGGGAAATATAGGTATGCATTTCTTTATTCTTTCTGTTTAATTTATGTTAACTCAGAATAGGATTGTACAGATGTTCTCATTTTAACCATTTTGTGATACATTTTGCTCATTCTAGCCTTCTAATTTAAAGGAAATGTTCTTACATTCTTCAGAAAGCCTGCAAGTCTTGATGATTCCAGGGAAGACAAAGAAGACAGTCGAAAGTCAGAAACACCAACTCCTGAAGTGGATGAAGAAGGTTACTGCATTCGCCCTAAAGTTGACCTTTGGGAGAATGATAAGGGCAGCTTCTACTCGAGTTCTGACACAGACTCAGGTAAACTGTGCCTCATATAAGAATGCTGTATGTTTAAAATGTTATTAAACTTATTAAAATATACGTACATTTGGTGTTTATGCTACATGTTTCAGCTGTATAGGGCAATCTTCAGGCAACACATGTTTTAAAGGAGCCCACTGCGCTGTGTACTTGGTCAAATAGTATTCTTGTCATCGTTAATTTATTCATGTCATTGCTCTTATTAACTTCTTTGAATTATGATGTTGTAGGACGATTTTCTTCCTATCATATGTATTGTGGCTGTTTACATGTCCCATTGGGTGTGCTGCTCACTTAGTTGTATGTATCTAGTGTTCCTTTGTGTTCCTTGTACGAGGAACAAGTACACAGTGCGTTAGACACCTTTAAAAGATACGAGGGAGTACCCAAAAGAAACCGAACTTATTTTTTTTAACTTATTTATTCAAATTTTAAGCACAGACCTACAATCCCCTTCAAAGTACTCTCCACTTACACTAATACACTTGTCTAGTCTTTTATTCCATTTTTCAAAACATTGTCTAAATTCATCTTTTGAGATATTTGACAGCGCCTCCGTCGTTTTTTCCTTCACCTCAGCAACATTAGCAAAATGCTTTCCTTTCATGTCTCTTTTCATTCGAGGAAACAAAAAAAAGTCGCACGGGGCAAGGTTGGGTGAGTATGGAGGGTGAGGAACAGGGGCATACCATTTTTGGTCAAGAATTGTCGTACAGACAGGGCTGTGTGAGCAGGGGCATTGTCATGATGGAAAGACCAGTCACCCGACTGCCACAAATCTGGTCGCTTCCGCCGCAGACTGTTGCGCAATCTTTTCAAAACTTCCAAGTAGAAAGCCTGGTTAACTGTCTGACCCTGCGGAACAAACTCTGAGTGGACGACTCCTCTCACATCGAAAAAACAAATCAGAATTGTTTTCATGTTTGATTTCACCTGACGAGCTTTCTTGGGGCGAGGCGAACTTGAAGTCTTCCACTGGCTTGATTGTTGCTTTGATTCAGGATCATAAGCATAACACCAGGTTTCGTCACCGGTGATAATTTTTGAAAAAAAGTTTTGATCATTTCAGGACTCTTCTTTCAAAGCACAGCATGCTTCCACGCAGCCTTGTTTTTGTTCAGCAGTCAGCAGTCATGGCACGAATTTCGCAGCCACCCTTTTCATTCCCAAATCTTCTGTCAAAATTCGCTGAACTGAGCTCCAAGTCATTCCCGACAGCTCCACAATTTCTTCAGTGGTCCGGCGTCGATCTTCCTTGATGATTTCACGAATTTTTTCAACATTTTCATGTGTTCGGCCCATGGAAGGATGACCAGAATGAGGTTTGTCATCAATTGACATTTCACCATTTTTGAAATGGGAAAACCACTCAAACACTTGAGTTTTCCCCATAGCATCGTCCTTCTACACCGTTTTTAACATTTCAAGAGTTTCTGTTTCACTTTTCCCAAGCAAAAAACAGAATTTCACCGCCGTACACTGGTCATGAAAATCAGCCATTGCAAAAACGATGATCACACAAAACAGTTGTCACTATAAACTCTGCCGAAACTAGTCCTTACCTTCTGAAGCAACGGTAGTCGGCTTATCGACTCAGGAATGTTAGCTCTATGCGCTCATAATGGCAAAACGCGGTACTACAAAAGCTCTGCCCCCCAAAAAAAAGTTCGGTTTCTTTTGGGTACCCCATCGTATGTTGAAGTCACTATAGATGGGTAACCACTTCGCTCTTCGTCATGAACATTTGTTTATCAATCTTAGAACATTCTACACCATTGTCTTGCAGTTTCTTCACTTGTTACATTTTAGCCATAAACTGTGAATAATTTACTCATGTTTGTAGTGTCAAGAAAGTGGATTACAGCGATAATTTTGCAGCTCGTGGGATTGTCAGTCACAGGACACATCACAACTCACTCTGGAGACACAAGAGCAAACACTAGCTCACCAGTTATGTGATAGTTTGTGTGTTACTCCCCCCAGATGTGCGAGCTCTCCACAGCTCCTACATTAGTTGCCTAAAATAAACAGAGGTTACCTTCCGAATAATGTTCGTATTTCCATTCCTCCAAGTTTGGAGCTATTTGAAGGAAATCCTGACATTGCCTGTATTTCCAAATCATACTGGAAGTCTAGAGCTTATAGATGTGATTTAAAGAGTTCAGCTGCTTGAAACATTATATGAAGAAACAAACAATTGTTACCTACGGATGTCATCTCAGCTTCTTCCTCTTGGCTTGTGACACAGTCCTGTGTGTGTGTCCTGTCCTCCATCCCTAGAGGACCAGGGACTACACTCAGTCTGGCATGAGTGGCCCTACCATGAGCTTAGGGTTCTGCCAACAGCTCTCTGGGTCACGGGGTCACACAAACGTCTCCACCATAATGTGGTAGTCATCAAGGAAGTACAGATATTATCAAGATAAGAAATTTCATAAAAAATTTCACATGAGAAATGAACGTCTTTGTCAATTTGAAAATTTATTTGACCATGGGTGCATAAACTGAGAAATTTTATTGGGAATGGCTCAGAGGGCCAGGCCCCACCAACATATTGCCTCACTGTATGGAAAGTGGTTTTATGTCTTTCCAGTTTGTTTCCATTTATAGTGGCGTAAAAATAATTTGATGTATTTCTAACTTGTTTGCATTTTGAATTGCATGAAAGTGTCTTTGAAAATCAGCCGAGAAAGTGCTCAGGTTGAATTATTCCAAAATGGTAAACTTGAGATTGTGTCTTATTTAATTACAGACGATGATCGTGAACATAAAATCCACGTGGAAATCAAACCATTGAGTAACGGCTCTGCACCAATGAGTGCCAGTGTTGATGAGCTTCGGGCAACTGTTGAAAACTTGTCACTGTCTCCAGTAGCAATGGTTTCTGTAAGTATGTGTGTATGTTTATGGTTAGAGTGTAAGTGTGTAGAATGTGGAACTTATGTCCTGAAATTTCTCCATTTTATTTGTCCACAAGTTCTTGAATGATATCTGTGGAGATTAAATAGTTCTTACATACTGAAGAAAACCACCCCTGTAAGTGAATGAATGCCATATTGTCACGTGAGTGAGGGGAGGTGATGGAATATGTGCTCACCACTCTTTGTGAGAAACACTGTTCCCCTCCCTCCTGTCTTGATAAATGTGTAAACTACTGAAGACCAAGGTTATGTCAGTTCCTGGGAGGAGGCTCCAGAACAACATTGCCAGGATAAAGGTTTGGTTGTTAGGCCTGGTAGAGGCGGTCAGAAAAGCAGCTGATGAGTGAAGGCTGATCATCAGCTTAGATGCTGCATGCAGCGTTCATATGCGGAGAAGGAATGCAGCAAACCCTTGCTAGTCTGTTTACAGTTAATCTGGATCACAGTTGAGTACATACTTTAGAAAACACGTGGGATTTAGGAGCAAGAGCAATTAGAGCAAGAGGACTTTCAGACTGTGTTGATGGCAGCTGGAGAGATTGAGATCATGCAAGAAAATATTTAAGATTGGCTTGAGCTGGATGAAGTAGACCCTGGATTTCAGCTTCATATTTTTTATAGTTTTTAAATAAAGACTCTAGAGTGATATTTTTTATTTATTTGTGTCAGCACTGGCTAATAAAGAAATTTTTAAGTTATTTGCGATGAAACAGATATTTGAAACACCATAGTGACGATGATGACAGCAACAACAACAAAAACAGAAATAGGCCCACTGAAACCAAAATCTGTGTTTTCTGAGTGGGGGGATGTAATTGTAGAAGAGATTAGACTGTATTTGGTGTGCAGACCACATATTTGAGACTGTGGGAGAACATCCAGTTGTAGAAACTGGTTATGAGAAAGCAGTTGGGATGTCACATGATAGATTCATGGCAATCCTGACAGTGCTTCACTTAAATAACAATGAAAACTGTGTACCTAGGTGCCAATCCTTTTCTCAGTAAACTGACACAGAAGTAGACTTTAAGGATTCTGATGATGGTGTGTGCTGTACACTATAAGGTTTGTTTTGGACTCTTATCAATTGTCTGGTATATATAAGACAAAACCCCACAACGTTTCAGACACTGAATCTTTCTTCGTCCTCAGGTGGATGGGGCAAGATAGACCTACTCAGTTGGCCCTGTTAGAAAAAGCTAGTCTGAACGTTGTGGTTTTTTGTCTTATATATACCAGACGATGGGTAGAGTCCAAAATAAACCTCATAGTTCTGACACAGAAGTGTACACGCCAGAAGAATTTCAGATGGTGAATGAAGCCATTTATGCAGTTCAGGGACGTTTATATTGAAAGTATATATGAAAGGAAAGATCCATAAATACGGTGTAAAATATTCGAACTTTATTAAGCAAAGAGTGGTTACAAATTTAAAATTGAAGTGTATTGTGACATGAGAGCTGAAAGCCAGAGTAGTGTAACAAGAAGAGGCGGTCATTGCTAGGCAACATAGCAGTAAACACCATTTTGCAGCACCGAATCAACATGCAACAACAGAAGAACTGTTGGAAGCAGTGTTTGCTGTGTTGTCTGTGCTCACACTACATAGCAAGTACCAATGGGAGAAGCTAGTTGGAAGTCTGAGTTAGTCGTTAATAGTCTTGAGTTGCATGTTAGCAGCCACTGCCTAGCAAAGACTGGTGAACAAACAGAAGACTGTGAAAGATAAAATGTAAATTTAAGTAATTGAGCACTACGCCACGAAGGTGTGTGAGAGAATGGATGTATAGATCCACTTTTCTTGACCTTGGCACTAGTTGGAGGTGAGTGGTCAGCTTCATGTCCTAGCCACTTTACCCCCGGGGAAAGAGCCCACAGTACCCATTGGATAGGAGGTTGAGTGGATCCCAGAGCCGGTCTGCATGACATAGGGAAGAGAAAATTCTGGACCCTATCTCCTACCCCTTGGTCATCCAGCCCAAAGTAGTCGCTATACTGACAACACTTTCCCAGTTCCTGTGGTTGTAGTAATCTAGAGTGTGTAAATCAATGAGACTCTCTCTTATGGTCACTTGTAATTACAAGTTATAAGCGTTCAGTAAATCCAGTTGCCATTCAAAACCTCATGTTTAATCACTAATACATAATGGTGTGTGGGCACACATCCCACAGAACCTGACCACAACAGTTCTGTGAACATCGTGGACACACTGTATAACCTCATAACAAATGAGGGTTATGCCATATGCATGGGGTGATGGCTCACAAGCCATGCACATATGGGCACTCTGTACAAGGGCTCTGTGTACTGTACTGTCAAACAGGAAGAAAGTACCAAAATCATTGTAGCACATGCTAAATGTTAGTCTGCTAGGTAGCAGCTCCCAGCAATGAATATTTCTTTGCTTCCATGCTGAGATTGTTGCCAGCTGGATACCATCTGACAACCAGCTTGCACTGGTCAGTCAGTAAGTTGCCACTGGCCCTCGCCAGCACAGTAATTCTTGGTTCTGAGTTCTGTTTGGATCCGTGACCAAGATTTTTGTTCTCTGCTAGACATGTATGTGTTTAGAAACGGGGTCTCTTCTTCAACAAGAAGAGAGGTCGTACTGCTACTGCTCACTCACTGGCCCAAATTCACACTCTTCAGTGGTTCTTGTCATGTGGCCTTGGCATGGATCATGCAGAAAACACCGCTTTAAATAGTTGCAGACACATGCTTAGCGTGCTGTTACCTAGCGGATCTGTACATCCACTCCCCGTACATCTTCATGGCATAATGCTTAATTAGTTAAGCACAGAGACAGCTTTACCATTTACCAATTGGCTGATACACATCTGCAAGTGATTTACGCATAGCGTAGTTGGTTGAGGGGCTATGCTACAAGCTGGAAGGTCGCAGGTTCGAGTCCCGATGAGGTCATTGGATTTGTTTCAGTTGACCTAATCCTTCCGGCCACACTATGGCCCTGGGGTTGACTCACCCTCTAACAGAAATGAGTACCAGGAATTAATTAAATAATTTTCATGGGGAGTAAAGCGTGGCTGGTGTGTAGGGCTGACAACCCTACCGCCATCTTTGAGCCGATTGTCTAGATAACGTGGGACCCTCAGTGTCTCACAACCATATGGCCCTTCATGTCCTGGTACAGGGATAGCTTTACTTTTACTTTATGACCTCACTAAGGCCTAATGTATGTGAGAGGATTTTTTCATTACTGTAGTCCAAGCAGCTCATGCATTAGGCAAGCTTTGACCTTATTTCAATGAGATCAGTGTATTTGTCTTATATCTGATTAGTGTTCAAAAAAATGACCATTGTAGTGCAGTGAGTGTTGTTTCATAAATGAAACATTCAGCAGAAATGCACCCAGGTTAAATTCTTCAATCTCCCAGTGCCTATATGACTTCACTTCATAGAGACCAAATTTTATTTTCGATTAAGACAGATTTCACCGATATATGAAATGTGATTAATAAAAGAAAACAGAAATAATGTACAAGAAATGATAGAATATGTATTTCAGTGCAAGTTGATGCACATATTGGCACACGTGTTGAACTGGCATTATGCTTGAGACTTTCAGTGTCCACGCTGAACACTCTTGTGAAGATCCATGTGGACCTTTCTGCAAGCAGTGAGAATCACTGAAACTGTCACCACTGCAGATACAAGAATTTGTACTTGGTGCCTGGTTCAGACAAGAATGTGAGAGTAATGCTTTCTTAGATGGCACCCACCTCAGTGAGGTGCCTTGCACATCGTCACTCATCTGGGAATAGCCAACTTTTTGACTTGCATTGGATATATTGACAGATATAAGAGGAGACATAACATTGTTTGCAGAACCTGTTATCAGGTGAGAGCAGGATTTTTGATCCAGAAACTGTAGAAGGCTTGAAAAATTACCGACTTGCAAATTGAAGGTTTTGACCTCTGTGATATAAATAATACACATTAGACAGGTCTCTTTTTCAGTGTGCAACCTAGCAGAACTGTCTCTCTTCTAGGATACTTTTGCCATGGTGGTACAAAATCTAAACAGCAGGTTAATGTGCTTCTTGTATGCAGAGAAAATTGTAGTGCTAAACTGACACTCTAGTGAATGGAAGATATCGAAGTCCACATTGCTTCAACATGTCAAGGGGCTACATACAAAATATGAAGCCAACACAAACTCTTTGATGACCACCAAAATATCTTAATATTGTCTCAGACAACTAGTTAGGAAAGTCATTGCTAAATATCGCAGAATATTGCTGCTTCCGCAGAACACTACATTTTTAGCAACATCACAGTTCTGTTTCTCCCAGCTAACTCTATGACCCATCTGCAGGCTTTATATTTGGGAAACATCCAAGCACTCAAGTGTCATTACAGAGGCAGTTGTTTTGGAAGGCTGTAGCCATGCTTGATGGGGACTGCTCCAAGATGCTACACAGATGAGGCTGAAATGTTGTCTGCAGTGCAATTAATAGAAACCTTGAGATTGATAACGCCCACTTTATGAAGTATGGTTTCTCAATTGATCATGTCAGCAGTAATGATGACAGGGCAGTGAGCCTCAGTGAAGATGAAGAGGATGGCTGGCTCAGTTTATAACATCTCGGAGTGCGGTTTGAGGACCACACAACATGTGACAGTGTTCTTGAGGTTTGTGGAATCCAGAGTGTTGAGCAGGTTAGATTGTTAGCATTTGACTAGGCCAGAAGAAGAACCAAAAGAAGAGAAGGAGGAAGTTGCAGAACATGAAACAGTATTCTTGGGTGCACTGAAAGGACTGGAAGCAGCCAGAGAGTATGTGTATCAATTTGATACCAAGAACAGTATTACTGTACTGTGCAGCAATATTGAAAATGAATTATACAGACTTCGAGCTGAAGGAGGAAAAGATTCTTATTGAATGGTTAAAGAATAGTGTAACTAGGTATGTACCATATTTGCCAGTCTGTCCAGGCAAATGCGGGGATAGTATCTTGAAATAGACTTCGGCCATTTTCCTCATCCTTTCCATATATTGGTTGTAATCACTGTTTCATTTTAATGATGCCACATAAAAACAGCAGTTGATAAAGCATCATAAAATAAACCAAGAACCATATTTGCATCTACGTATACATAATTAGGTGCTCAAACATGTATTTTTTAAATGATTTTCCAAAATTATGATATAAATGAAACCAAATATTCTTAACTTTATATCACTCTCATTTCCATGATTTTATACCTTCCTCAGTTTTACACTTATTGTAGAGGGTCCCTTAAGAAGTGTAAAACTGAGATTTTATTGTATAAGTAATTTGGATCCTTTAGTTTGAGAGAAATGCGCCCTTGTTATGAAATTAATTACATTGATGAGTAATTTGGGTCGAAGAAACATGTATGTTGGGCTGTGCTGCCTTGACAATAATTTAGCTGGTATTTTTCCATGTGCCTGAATCGTGGGGTGATTTCTATAGAAGACAGTTTCCTGTCTTGAGGACTGGGGCCTCTCTCCCCATTTTGATACTTCTTCATACTGACTTCATGGCTGTGAATAAAATTTTGGTGTACACTTCCCCAGAGTTTGCAAATGCCATGCTTTGTACAGCTATCTGGGAGAAGCTAGTTGATACCACACTCATGGAGGAATGGGGCACCCCATGTGAGAAGGAAACATGACCTTGAATGGGAATTGCCCTGAAAGCTATGAATGTTGCATTCAAATTGCAATTAAAATGCTCTGCATGTGACAGTTGGGGGTCGTAATGTGTAACAGTAACACGCTTCACTCCCAACCCAAAGAGAAATTGCTTGAACTCCTTACATACAAAACATTGGGTATTATCAGAGACTGTGATGCCCATCTCAGAAAAGGGAAAGAAGACCTCAGTGCCTTTATAGTGGCTAAAGTTATGACTTCCCTTCCCAGGATAAATCATACACAGTTACATCACAAACCAATATCACAGTATTCTCAGCCTTGAAAAGGTAAACTTCCGTACACAATCAGTATGGATGCTGCAAAACTTCACAGGCTAGAAATCCAAAATGGAAGTTCTGCCCAGGCTTAATTTTGCCACATGTTACACAGTTATTGTTGTTCACACCTCTCGAAATGAATAAGTCCCAAAATTTATTGATCATCTTAAATGTCCCCAAATGGCCACCAAGTGGAGACGAGTACTGGAAGAGTACTGCCATGGGCAGGGGCACCACTTCTTTTCCCTTGTGGGGAAACTTAGACTGGCAATGGAGGGCACTCTTAAGAGTGTTATCAAGGCTTTTGATGATACGGGACAATTCAACATCTGCCCTTTGATGTTCAGTGAAGGAGGAAGAAGGAAATATATGAGCAAGCCATTACAGGGAGCCAAGAACAGCTCAAGATGGAGTGCGTCACACATATGGGAAGAGTGTCAGCTATCATGTATATGATATGGTTGCAGGTATATGCTGTTACGTTGAACATCCACACTACCCAGTACCCATTTTTTCCAACTTGCATGGTTGGGTGAGCGGCCATGACAAGCCCTGATTTTTTTTTCAGGAGGAATTAGTCATGTTCCAAATAGGAGTGCAATTTATCAGTGCCAAACACTTCCTACATCAAGTGTGCCTGACGGCACAGGGCGCCTAGGATACAGGCTAATCATATCCACCAATTTCTTGTAAGAGAATAGCTTCAAGAGCAACAGCACTGGCATGTCTGCAGAATAGCAGGTCTTTCAAAGCCACCATTGTGAAGTTGGGAGTCGGGAGGTGTAGGAACAAGGATCACATGCACTATGAGGACATTCATACACAAATGAAATCACAGGTGTGCCACACAGCTGTGCAAGGTTCTGATACGTGGCAGAGAAATTTTATGTTGTAAGATTATTTATTTGTTGCGATTGATGTATATTCAGGTTGATGGATGACATTTACTTATTCAAAACATTGCGGAATTTTATAGTAACATGTCATCAACCTGCTGACTCACACAGATGGAAGATTTAAAAATTTTATTTTTGATGAGGACCCATTGTAAGAATTGAACTGAACTGCAGAGATTTCAGTTAAATATTTATAAATAGTTTATGAAATCATCATGTTGAGTGGCAAAAAGTGGAAGTATTTTATAGGTTTCACTAAGCTTAAGAAGGCAAGACCAGGAGAGTACAACATAAAAGATGGTAAAAACTTAGATATTGAAGAAATGTTTGTACGTATTGATGAATAATTGGGTTGAGAATAGCACATTTTCAGTACAGAAATAACAGACAACATAGAGAATTTTAATAAGCTGTGGTGGAGAATTTCCTTTGGGGCCAAGTTAATTTTAAATGCGATTTATTTTAGAATTGACACATGAAAGGAAGTTGTACTTTTACTACTGTATTTTGATTTCCTCAAGTATGTGCTTCATAGAAGTTGCATTTGAGATGATTTGTATAATTTTCAGTATTGTCTTTCAGGGTCGAAGGGGCTCCAATGCTGAATCTGACCATCATATGAAGAGATCTCAGTCAGTTTCTCAACAGCTTGGTGGGTAAGTTTACTTACTTAATTACTTACTCATGGAGCTGAGCCCTTCTGGAAGAGCCGCCAATTCTGCAGCTACTCAAGAATTTCCCAGCATTTATGGAACCAGAAGGTTCATTACCATGTTCACCAAGAGCCAGATCTATCCAATTCATACCATCCCATTCTTTCTCTCTAAGATCCATTCTAGTATTGTCCACCCACCTACACCTTATGAGAAGAAACTGGTTTTCAGTCACTCACAGTTCAGTTTGTTGCTCTTTTCCTCACATTTGGGAGGCACTAGTTTGAAATCCAGCCAATAGATGAGCAGTCCTGACCACAGTTTTCATATTGTTCTGCAGCATTCCCACACAGATGCCAGGATAGTACCACTTTCTTACACATCCTTCCAATATGTTATTCTCTATCATTCTATGCTCTTGTCATGTGCATGATGATACGCATGACAAAAATGACAGGTTCTAGTTCAGATGATTGGATTTATTGGCACTTTGGTTACAAGTTCTCTTGATCACACATAATACTGCACTATCGCTGATTTACACACTTTACGGTTCACCGTTGCATATGCACTAGGATTCTCTGTCTTCACTACTCGTCTCCTGGCAACTGATCTCAGCACTGAAACTAATAACAGTATACACACAAAGTCTTCTCTTCACAGCCACACTCTTCCAACTAACTCTTAACTATGAGGGCCGCACCATAGCTCAAGTGTTTAGTTGCTGGCTTCCCACCGTGGTGGCCCGGGTTCAGTCCCGGGTCTGGCCAAGTGGTATTTGTGGTGGACAAAGTAGCGCTGGGGCAGGTTTTCTCCAAGTACTTCAGTTTCCCCTGCCAATCTTCATTCCACCAATTGCTCCACAATAGGCCAGAAGTGGCCACAGTACAAGGGACTTAGTCCCGCCCCACTAGCAATAAAAACAAAACTCTTATCTACACTGCACTGCAGTCTGTGCTATTCAAATCTAAGCTACAACAGTTCTTCGTTATATAGGCTATACAAGGGCCACACAGAAAACTAGTCATGTGATTCCTAGCCAGTGACTTCATTGGTGTGCTGACTGTTGCCTAGCAATGGGCAGTAGCATTCATCCAATGAGACACATCTTCCATTGTTGCACGTTGATCATGTTTACCGAGCCGTTGCCTGGAGACACTTTGAGCAAACCCATTACACTACATTAGCCTGACAGTGTCTTTAAATAAGTAAGTAAGTTAATTTATATCATGGTAGGTTAACAGAAAACTTGTATCATTTAATTCCTTTGTTGTGATAGTAATAGATTTTGGGTGAATATCACTTTCTCTTCAATCCTGTATTATGCTATATTGGCTTTATATTGTAGTATAATAATCCATAGGTCAGTATGTAGTCCAACTCTAACATTAATAATTATATACCACTAAATATGGATTTTTCAATGTATGCAGATGACAGGAATTTAATTCACAATCAAAAGTCATTTCATATCCACTAATAATATTGAGACGGGCATAAAAATTATGAATTGATACACAAACAGTCTTTAATATCATAATCAAAGGCTGAATATACTGTTTTCAGTTTTTCTTCCTTTGATATTTCTACTTTTATGTGGGTTATCAAACAGACAAGCCTCTCCATCTATCTCTGTCATTCCAAAGCTCCTCAGTTTTCTCTTGTGCTTTCTTGGTGGTTAACTGTTGATTGTTTACACCCTTTGGATGTGTGCAGTGCTGCAAACATTTTGAAATTATGTGCTGCCTGTGGACACTTTCCTTTTTGGCCTGAACAAGGCACAGACAAGTCCAATTTCTCTATATTAGGCATTTTCAGTTGCAGGTGAGATCAAGGTGAGAATTTGGAAGAATTGGGATGAGAGAAGTTTCTCTGGTAAACCAATTTCTTACTGTTGTAATTTATAGAACTACCCATTTCCTCATAGAGCTGTAAATTTTGCTATCATATTTACCTGGTTGGAAGATGATTCTGAATGTAAGACAATTGTCTGCACAGAAAAAGTAATTGTATGAATTAATTTCATACACAAACATATGAAAGAAAATATAAAATATGTGACATTGATTGAGTTCCTACTGTGAAGTCACTAGCCCTATTCAGTTTCACCAGTCTCATCATATAAGGTGCTATCGGAAAGTTCCTGGACAAGCTCAAAAAAGTATTGCTATCTTAACTTGCTCAACTTTGGCTGCCATCTCCTTCAAATAGTCTCCTTTGGAACATATACAGTGATCACATCTTTTTTTCTTCCTTTTTCTTTCTTTCTTTCTTTTTTATTCCCCCCCCCCCACGCTTTAACAGCACCGTGGAAGTCATCTTCCATATTGCTGTCGAGTACCGCTTGCAATTCCCTTTGGATGTGAGACACTGTTTGAAAATGCTGTCCCTTCAGTTTCATTTTCAGATTTTGAAGCAAAGCTAAATCACAAGGGGCTATGTCTGGCAAATAGGGAGGATGGGGAATGAAAACCATGTTATTAGTCACAAACTGTGTTGTTCTCAGGGATGTGTGGGTGGGCATGTTGTCATGAAGAAGCGGTGCGGTGCATGTTCAAATTCTCTGTTACAGTCTCCTGGCAGACTTCATCACTGATAACAGTGGTGTCTGTGAGTTCATGGATTGTTCAACAACTGTCTTTGTGGATGAGTTCTTCACTATTTTTCAACATTTTCTGTCATTTTGCTGGTGCTTGGTCACCCTGAACATTTGTCATTTTCAGGTGACATTCAACCAGCCTTGAAACATGAATGCCTTTCAGAAACCACTGTCTGGCTTAAAGAATGCTTTCCAAAAGCCTCATGAAGTATTTCAAGTGTTTTGGTGGTGGATTTACTGAGCTTCACACAAAACTTGATGGTGACACATTGCTCTATTTTGCCATTCATTGCAGACAAAACAGAAAGTAGTCAAAAAAGCACTCATGTGAAAACAGTGCATGTTCACTGCACGATGTCACATGGTAGACTGATGCAATAGCGTTGTGGAATTGTGACCTTGGCCTCCCCTCTCATCTTCTTTCACGGAAGCAGTTACAACAATAACAGTCCAGGAACTTCCCAGTACCACCTTGTATTCCTTTCTGCTGTTGTCTGTCTCAGAATCAGTGTCTTTACAATTCCCTTTCCTATCACACTTTTGCTACTCACAGCCTCATGCTCATTGAAAGGATTCCCAACTTCTTCCTCATCCTCCCATCCATTTCATCAGATGTGTAGCAGTTTTTAAATCCTTTAACTATAACTTCTAAGGGGATCAGTTGCCATTGTCTTTATCCACTGGTGCAGTACTTTTTAACTGGGCTTCTTTATTCTGGTTGGTGTCAATACACAGTCTGTCCCAAGAACCATTCAGAATGCAGTTGTTTCAAATGATCCTTAATCCTTTCCATAGTGGCAAGTGATATGTGTATTGTCACATATATACCCATTGCTAGACAACGCCTGAGGCCGCGCCATAGCTCAAGCGGTTAGTCGCTGGCCTCCTACTGCGGCAACCAGGGTTTGATCCCGGGTCTGGTCAGGTGGGATTTGTGGTGGACAAAGTGGCACTAGGGCAGGTTTTCTCTGAGTACTTGGTTTCCCCTGCCAATCTTCATTCCACCAAATTCTCCATCATCATAATCACTCAGGGCAGTCTACAATAGGCCAGTCAGTGGACGCCGTGCTGAGTGGACCCAGTTGGACTCCACACCCCACTAAGCGAATTTCTTTTTAGACATCGCCTGCAGCATGCATGTGGCCAACAGTATTTTAAACAGTGTTTTCTTTGTCTGTGGATTGGCTGTCACTATGCAACAGCCGCGCTGTGACGCCACACAGCAGTATCCAACAGCCGCGCTGTGACGTCACACAGCAGTATGTGGCCATCATGTGACATGTTTCCTACACGATGTGCCATGATGATGTCATTGGCGCTTGGATGATGCAACAGTACTGTTGATCATGACATTTGTGTGCTTTCCAATTCAAAGCTACATGACAAGGGCCAGACCAGACAAGAACGGGTAGTGGAACTAGTAGTGGAATGGAGTTCAGAAGAATGCGAGAGGTTGGCATATGAGGATGTAAAGTGTGATTGGAAGATTTTATGTGTAATATGTGATAGTGAGTGACAGCTGTAAAGTGAGCAGTGAAGACTTATTGTGCGACTCCAAGACTTGATGTGTGTGATGGTGCAGTGATACTGGAAGTGTAATTGGAAGATCTTAGGTGTAATACTTGTATTGATTTGAGTGTTGGTTTCTGTGCTGAGATTTGTTGCTAGGAGACAACTAGTAGAGACTGAGAATGCTAGTGTGTGCATGCCACAGTGAATTATGAGGTATACGAGGGGGGACCCAAAAATAACCGGAAACGACCTGTTGCGCGCGCATGCTATGTAGTTATGAGTTGTGCTGCTAGGTGGTGTTAGCTGGGGGTCTCCTGCGACTGTTAGTGAGCTGGCGTCAGTCTGAGTTAAGTGGTTTGTCTGTGGTGCTCTGTTGTGTGCGTTCCTGTTTCGACCCTTTGGCGATTAGTGAGATGGCCGACCAGAAGGAACAAAGAGTGTGCGTGAAATTGATGAAGATCGTCGAAAGACCATTGACCAACTTTCTGAGGAAACGAACATCTTATGGAGCACGGTCCAGCGAATTTTAACCAAAGGTTTGCACATGAGACGGGTGTCTGCAAAATTTGTTCCTCGCTTGCTCGGAGATGACCAAAGAGAAAACTGCGTGAATATTTGCCGCGACTTGAAGAGTGAAGTGTAGTTTTCCCTAACAGAAAGCAAAATTTCACGCACACCCTTTGTTCCTTCTGGTCGGCCATCTCCCTAATCGCCAAAGGGTTGAAACAGGAACGCACACAACAGAGCACCACAGACAAGCCACTTAACTCAGACTGACGCCAGCTCACTAACAGTCGCGGGAGACCCCCAGCTAACACCACCTAGCAGCACAACTCATAACTACAAAGCATGCGCGTGCAACAGATCGTTTCCGGTTATTTTTGGGCCCCCCTTCGTATATAAATCAGTGATACTGCTGTAATTTAAATGTAATTAATAGAGAGTGTTCCCAAAGTGCTAATAAATCCAATCATCTGAACTAGGACCTGTCATTTCGTCACGCATACCACCTTACATGTGACAGTATGTGACATGTTCTGTATCCTGTGGCATGCATGACCTGAAATGATCTATGGAATTTAAAATAAAGTGAAAGTGAAACTGAAAGACATAACACAAAGCTTCATGTTTGTATAAGAATGGTTTTTGTTCTAATTTTAAATTTTATGCTCTTAAAATTGTATTGTATCTCCATTTGGAGCAAAAGCTTGTAAGTCCTGTATATGTCTGAATGTTCTGTGCTGTCAGGTCAAGGCTCTTGTGAACTTCATTGTAGTGAGGCATGTAGCAGCTTGTTTCTCTCAGCTGTGGAATGTACATAGAGTCAATGATTTTAGGCAGATAAAAAATGCGTACACCTGAGCCTAGTCCTACTGAGGCTGAAATTGCTGTTGCAAAGTTGAAAAGCATAAATTGCCAGGTAGTGACCAAATTCCAGCAGAGCTGATTCATGCAGGAGGCTAACCATTATGGTCTGAGGTCCATAAAGAGATTAATTCTGTTTGGTGTAAGGAAGAATTTCCTGTTCGGTGGAAGGAGTTTATTGTTGAGTGAATTTAAAAGCAGGCCCATAAAACTGACTGTAGTAATTATCGAGGAATGTCACTGTTATCAACTGCATACAAAATTTTATCCAATATCCTCCTCCCAAGGTTAAGTCCATATGTAGAATTATTGAGGATCAATAATGGGTTTTCAGTGTAACAGATCAACAACTGATCAGATTTTTTTTTTTTTATTCTTCAGATACTGGAGAAAAAATGGGAGTATTCATAGATTTCAAGAAAACCTTTTATTGAGTTAGGAGGGAAATATTGTACAGTAGAGTTTGGGGTACCCATGAAACTAGTTAGGCCAGTTAATATGTGTTGAAATGAACTGTAGAGTGAAGTACTTACAGTTAACATTGGTCTCATATGTTTCCATTCAGAATGGTCTAAAACAAGGAGATGCCTTATCACCATTGCTCTTCAACTCTGCTCTAGAATATGCCATTAGGAAGGTCCAGGAAAAGCAGGTGGGTCTGAAATTAATTGGGACACATCAGCTGTTGGTATGTGCTGATGATGTAAATCTATTTCAAGATAACATACAGGGCATTCATTCATCGAGGAAACCTGGCAGCAGCGTGGGTCAAATAGAACTTTTCTCATATATTGCTGCTGTAACTGCTGATAAAGGGATGAGTCATTAGTGCTGATAAGTGCGTGCACTCTCGCTAGCATAGAGCGGACGGAACGTTTCTCTGTGAATACCGTGCCCTTCCCTGCTAGCGAGAGTGCAGTTCTGTCACTGAGTCCCTCACATCAGTTTCTGTACATGCACACATTTATAAGAACACTGTAAAAAGATAATGCAAACTTACTGTGCTTTATACCAGGTGCTGAAAGTGACTGCCTTCTGCTTGCAAACATGCCTCGCATTGCATACTGTGCGACACTTTCTGAAGTTTTTCCACAACAATTGAACTAATTACGCATGTTGTTTCATTCTGCAGACCTTCACTGGTGCAAGGATTGTTCTTGTAGACTTTTCCCTTTAGGTTTCCCCAAAGATAAAAATCGCAAAAACTGAGGTCTGGAGACCTGGGAGGCCACATTCTCATTACCACTTCTTATGTAGCAAATAAACTTCATACATAGGAGAATCTGAGGTTGCTGAATGTTAAGCTAAGTGGGAGGTCCTATAGTATCCACAGTTATGCAGACACAAGCCACCACATGCTTGTGTTGTGTCTCGGTACAGCCTTCCCTGCCTCATCCTGTTTCAGATTCTTCTAACCCTTACATCACTATGCAGGACACATATCTACATCCCTCTGTGGCAGGTGCAAGAGCACCAACAGGTTGTAGAGTAACAGAAACCAGTTTTAAGATTTATATGATATGTGGTCTGCTGCTGAACCAGTGCATACATTGGTACAGTTGTGAGTCATGTTGATGATATAATTTGCTGAACAAACATGCTCTATAAGTGTGTGAACCTTTCGCTTGTCCAGTGGATCACTACTGTAGATGCGGCATAATGTTTCTGGTATCTCTTAAACCTTTCTGCATATTTTCACAGAGAAAATAACCAATCTACTTAATATGTATAAAAGTACAAGTAATTTATGTTTTCATTGACAACAGGAAACCAAGTAGTGATTTGCTAGGACTGAATCTGTTTCAAAGTCCAACAGCATCGAGTGCCTCAACCCCGACGGGAGCTCCAAGTGGAGGTCACCCATATGCTCCACTGCAGAGTCCCACACAGCCTTCCATGGGGAGTCCTGCTCCCTCTTCTTCATCTCGATATGCAGGTTTGTTGACTTGCGTTTCCAGCATATTTTGCTTCAGCTATGTATGCAACTTAATCAGAATCAACTTAAGAACTTTTTTTTTTGCTAGATCTAGGAGATTTGTTCTCGGAAGTGGGAGAGATCCAGCCAGCTTTACCTCCAAAACAGTCCAGACAAACTCCTACACCAACACAGGGCTCAATAGCAATTCCTAGGCCTCCATCCCGGAGAGGGGAGGTATGCAGACTTTGAATTTGCTAAATTCTTTGAATATATAACTGTTTTAACTAAAATAATTGTTTCATTTATTGTAGACAAAATATTATCCACAGTGAACCTTCTTCATGTTGTGTATAAATTTATGCTTTAAATAATTACATAATATTTTGCTTTGTGTCTGCTTCATTCACATTATTTATTTAAATACTAAGAATACCTCACTTGTTGATGCACTTCACTCCATTTTCAGGGCCCATCGCCACGAGGTCGAGTAAGTCCAGCTCCAGGTCCATCTCCCATCTCAAGGGCTGACAGTGTGGGCAGCCTTGAATTTCGAACTGCAGGCGTTCCTGTTGGTTCATCAAGAGGTCCATCACCTCTGACCATCGGAATGGCTGACACCATCCCTCTGGCTGTTGCTTTTCATGAAATTGTGCACTCCTATTTCAGGGGGACTGACGAAACTAAGTATGTGATGAGTGAAGCCCACACTTGTCAAAATCTCTCTTCCTTAATAAATACTCCATCAGCTTTTCCTTAGTAGAATAGTGGTGAAACAGAAATTTGTTGAAGAAGCTCAGTCTTTAATTTTGCTTTTGTGCATCCATAAACATTTTTCAAATATTTCCTTACTAATATAAGCATGATTTAAAAATAATTTTCCTACATGGATTGCTTTGTAGTTCATCCAGTTCTGTTGCCGTTTTTAATTTTGATATTACTGAGAAAATGCAGTTAGCATGAACAGAATAAACTGATTGTAATTTTTGCTCATTGAGAAGTAAATTGTGGCAGTAGTGGTGGTTGTAGCAGCGGCAGCAGTGGTATAGCTAGTGTGATTCCTTGTTAAAAATAAGTTCAAAATATTGTACAAATGCCCTCTTGACGTTTGGGTTTGTGAGGTATATGTCAGTGTCAACTGGAACAAGCTATCAAGTGATTATATCGCGGGTGCCTTGTAGTTAACAGTAGGTTTTCATAACAGCCTCCGTCCATTCAAGGCAGATGACAGTATGTGCTGCATGGCATTCCCTTAACATGTCTTAACATGGTATCACAGCTGCTTGAAGTCTTGCCATGAAATCTTCAGTAGTTCTGGGAGAGGCTGCTTCTTCAGGTATCTCCACAGGAGAGAATCTGTTCGAGTAGGATCACTTGATCAAGGAGGCCATGCATTTTTCCCTCAACATCCAACCACTGCCAGTTATATCCCTCACAGTCTGCTGGAGCTCCATCATGCTGAAGCCAAACCCTCTGCCTCACAGCTTCAGGTAACTTTGGTAGAACAGGTTCTAGAAAATCATGATGTCATTGAGAACTCAATCTGTGAGGTAGCATAAAGGGGCTCATGACAGTGTCCTCAGTGATTCCAGCCCAAACTCATACACTGCACTGTACTTGATACCCATGTTTGTGGGCTAGCATGAGGAGTGTCCTGTTCCCACAGGTGACTGTTGTCAACATTCAGCACACTGTCACATATGCTTGATATGTCGACAGAATGTTGTGTAAGAAAGCTTATTCGCAATGTGTTTACATTTACATTTACATTTATTATTCACTTCATGGTTCCAATCATCTCCCCATAGGGCTGGCTATAAAACATATCACATATTACAAATTCATGATTACACATCATTAGTGTAATAAGTAGTCCAATAAAATATATAATCAGGCCTCACACAGATAGCTCAAGTTGTCAGGACAACACACATGGGTTGTGGAGAAACCACAATCAAATTCACACGCTGGCAAGCCATATCATCCAAACAGTTACATTATAAAATATTAAAATTCATAACAAAAACAGACATCATACATACTACTACACTTACAACAAGCAAGTCTCAACAATGTATAATTCAGGCACACAGACCATTTATTAACTCTTAACTTTTGAGCCACTTACATGCTCAATAAATTCATCAGTTAAGTAAAATGCGCTACTTTGCAAATAATTTCGTGAAACAAAACTAAATTGCTTTCTGTCATTTTTTAAAACTGTGATATTTGATGGCAGAGTATTAAATAGCTTGATGCCCGAATAATACACCCCCCTCTGATAGGATGATAAATGTGTTGAAGGGGACTTGTTTCATTCTGGTCCATCACACTAACAATTACAAAGGCAAAACAACTCCGTCCAGTGTGACTATTGAAGTTTTACTACTTGAAAACTTAGCACCCTTACATGTTTCTGTCCCTATAGACCATCATCACAGGGATATCGATACTTTTTTTGGAAACTACTATCACAATGTGTGTTTCGAGTGTTAAAATACATATACATACAATGTTTGTAATGCACAACATATACAAAGTCCAACTTTTTCACAACTACAGCGGCTTTCTTGGTATATTAAAATTTTTATTAATTATTATTAATTTAAACATTGCATCTTCGGTTGATGATCCCTTTTGGAATCCATACTGCGCTGAAAGTAATATTTTATGTTTTACGATATGATCATTGAGTCTTCTAAAAGTTGTTGTTTCAAAAACTTTTGCAAACCCAGTTACTATAGATATTGGCCTGTAGCTACTTATAACAGCCTTTTTATTTTGTAGTGTGTACAGCAGTTGCTATACTATGACTGCGAGGTAGGTGAATAAAGAATGGCCGTTTCTAGGTAATTGATTAGTAAACATGCTCCCGCAGCATTGAATATGGTTGCAACAATAGAGTTACTGTTGGAAAGGGTGATATCTACTCCGTCCATGCAAAGGGGTTGTAAGGAAGACTATGGGGTGACCCAGTCAGTTAAAGAGTTTTGCAAGGGAGGCTGAGAAGGGATGGTGATTTAGTTCAGTTGACAGTTCAGTTGTAGGATATTTGCTGGACAGTAACAATGTGAGCACAGAAGCTGAAGAATCTCCATTGTTGAGATCTGTTACCAAGCAATTGCTAGTGAATATACTGTAGACTGGAAAGGACTTCGTTTGTGGTGATTTGTAAAGTATGGAAATCACTGATAGTGTTATTGTTATTTTTAGCTACAACCCTAAGTGGTCAATAAATCCATTCACCAATCCATACCCCATCTATAGTTACATATAGCCATTTGAAAATTTGCATCCATAGAGAATGATCATCTGGAAACAGATATATGTGCTGCAAATATTGGTATAGATGTAGTTTATCATAATGAAATACATCAAGGACCCTCAGTTGGATATTACCAATTCTCATGCGATATCATGTGAGCGTCTTCATGGCTCTTGTTCTGCAACTGTAATCCTGGCATCTTCATTAGTTGATGTCTGCACAGTCTCATGACATGCATTCATGTGTGCCATAGGTATTCCACTTCCTGTCTCACAGAAACACGTGCTTCAATTGTTGAAACACAATAGCTTCTGGATAATGTGTATACCTGTGCAGCAGTTCCAGCCTGACTGTTACAGGTATCGAGGGTTAGTATTCCATGAACATTCAGTCATAACTGACCCCTGCCATACATTGTGTGTCTTGAGTACATCTGAGAACACTCTGTGTAGCATCATGATAACACTGTTACTGCATTTGATGGTGACATGAGTCTCAAGACATTGCTGTATAACATTTTAGCCTGTTTTGGCAGAACCGCACTGTTGAGTTTTTGTGTGCAAATTTCTTTTCACCTGTAGATATGCTGTTGTCCACATAAAAATTGGAAATTTTCTTCCACTTTTTTTGTGCGTGTGTATACTGTAAGTCTGAACATTGAGTTCCCTTTTCTTTAAAATTGTTATTGTAGATATGTGTGTGAGTGAGTGTGTCAAAACTTGTCACAATTTTTTTATTATTTGCCAGCAGTTTGAAAATTTCAGTAGTCGAATATCAGTAGAAGATTTCAGCTGCTGCAAGATCAATATGGTAAAAACATTGTGTTTCAGAAATTATATTTGAAAGATTAATGTTATTTCCTTTTATTGTAACACTAGCAGAATCCATTTTAACAGCCATATTGGTGACATTTAATTTGTCATACCAACTGTACAAATGATGTTGGAGTTATGTTGGACTCTAAACTGTACTTTCATCAGTGAGTTAATTATGTACTCCTATATCTTCTCAAACACTAAGGCATCTAAGGCTTATTCATTTCATAACATCTTTTCTTCTTAGATAAGCCTGAAGGTTTTGTGTAGTGTTGCTTTAATTTGGTCCAGATTTGTGTATACCTTGCTGATCTGGAATAATCTTCAAAAAGTTTCCACACTTTTATATTTTCAAAGAAAAAAGAAAAAGATGGTGGGGTGGAGTGGTTGGGAGTATTGTGGGTTGTCATGTGACTAGTGGGCAAGGTGAGCCTGTTGACCTTGCAGTTTTTTTTTTTTTGCTAGTGGGGTGGGACTAAGTCCCTTGTACTGCAGCCACTTCTGGCCTATTGTACCAGCCCCAGATGATAGGTGAGGGTGATTGTGGAGCAATTGGTGGAATGAAGATTGGCAGGGGAAACTGAAGTACTTGGAGAAAACCTGCCCCAGCGCTACACTGTCCACCACAAATACCACTTCACCAGACCTAGGATCAAACCTGGGCTGCTGCGGTGGGAAGCCAGCGACTAACCGCTTGAGCTATGTCGCAGCCCTGACCATGCAGTTAGTGTGAGAGTTGCTACGAAGCAGTGAACATGGCTGCGAAACTTGAGAACTGCATCAAGGAGGAGTAATGTTCTGTGATGTGATTCTGTGGGAAGAAGGTGCACCAAGTGGAAAAACTCATCAGTGAATTTATGCTCAGTATAGGGACAATGCTCTGTCTCATTGAGTTGTGTATGGGTGGATTGAAATGTTTAAAAATGGCCATACAAGTGTGGCTGATGCAGAGCCAACCACAGCCACAACTGCACAGAATGAAGGAAGAGCTAGGGAACTGATTCTTCAAAACAGAAGAGTGACAGTCAACAAAATTTCAGAGCAACTAAACATCGACATTGGGGTCTGCTTATTTTGTGGTGCATTATACCTTCAGTTCCATAAAGTGTGTGCCAGGTGAGTACCTTAGGAACTGACAGATGAGAACAAGTGCATTCACTCAGGCAGTTCTCCCTGCCACTTGGCTTATTATCGTGAAGGTGACAAATTTCTACAATGGATCATCACAAGTAATGAAATCTGGGTTCACAACTATCAGCCAGAAACGAAGTGGAAGAGCATACAATGGAAACATTTGCCATGTGTTGTAAAGATATTTCAGACCCATCCATCGGCAAGTAAAGTTGATGTTGACTGTCTTCTGGTATTCCTAAGACATTTCTCTTGAGACCTACCTGAAATGTGGAACAACTGTTGCAAGTGCAGCCTATTGTGACATGGTTCAGAGGACATCTTATTGTTGCACGACAATGTCCGTCCTCACACTGTGGCCTGCAAGTTGGAAACCCTCAGGAAATTGAAATGGAAAGTCATGGAATATCAAGCTCAGTCCAGATTTGGCACCACTTGATCTTCACATCTTTGGACTGCTTAAAGAAGCTTTAGCAGGGAGAAGATTTCGTTTTCTTTAGGACATAAAGAATGTGGTGCATCAGTGGCTATGTGACCAACCAAAGACTTTCTATTTAAAGGTAAAAAGAGAGGTAAAACTATCCGTGTCACAGTCCGTGAAGGCCCATAGAGTTGTGAGACGTCAAGGCTCCCACATTTTCTAGACAGTCAGCTTAACAGATGGTGATGAGGTTGTCAGCCTTATGTGCCAGCCACCCTCTACCGACCCCCCACCCCCCAGGAAGATTCCTGGTACTTATTTCTGTTAGAGGCTGAATTGACTGGAAGGATTAGGTAAGTTGAAAATAAATCCACTTCTCAGGGACTCAAACCCATGACCTTGCAGCAAGTAGCATAGTGCCTAAACCAACTACACTACTGCATACCCCCAGACTTCCTATTATGATGGCATTAAGAAGTTGGTAGGATGCTAGGAAAATTTTTTTGAAAAGCAGGGTGATTAAATAGAAAAATGATATATTCTGTTTTTGTAATCGTCTCTAAAATAGAGGCATAAAATTAAAAGCATGGAAACTTTTTAAGATTTCTCATACATAGTGTGTCCATGTTCTGTTAGGACTGTGTTCATTAAAAATACAAGACTTGAATTTTCAAAATTTCACACTTTTTATTCAAAATAGTCTCCTTCTGAAACAATACATGGCTGGAATTGATTGAAAAGTTTTCATAAACAGTCACTGTACTCCTCTTATGGAATTGCATTTAAAACTGTGGTACGTTCCCTTTGGATGTCCTGGATGGTGTCGTGATGATCTTTCATCGCCAACTTAACTTTTGGGAACAACCAGAAATCTGCTGGAGCCAAATCTGGCAAATATGGAGAATGATGAAGGACTGTGATCCCTTTTCTGGCCAAAAAATATGCACGAACTTCGATTTGTTGGGTGGGGCATTGTCGTGGAGGAGCGACCAGGAACCTTGCTCTCGATATACAGGTCAAATTTGAAGAATTCTGGCCCACAAACGATTGAGGACTCTGAGATAATAATCAGAATTCACTGTTTGACCTTCGGGAAGAAATTCCTTGTGAATGATTCCTTTGGAATCGAGGAAAACTGTTAGCAGTGTCTTTACTTGACTTTTGCATGCACACTTTCTTTGGGCTCAACCACGCTGCACTCTGCCGCTTTGTGAGAGGCTCATATTGAAAACACCAGGTCTCATCACCAGTAACAGTTGATCCTGTAAATTTTGTATCACTTTTGGCTGACTGTAACATGTCTTTGCAGTGTTCCACTCAGGCATATTTTTCATCGCTTGACAGCACATGCGGTACAAACTGCGCACAGAGCTTCTGTTTGCCCAAATCCTTGGTCAAAATTTGATGCACAGTATTTTTCGGTATTCCCAAAAGCTCCTCGATGAGTCTTGCAGAAATGCATCTGTCTGATGCAATGATTTCGGTCACTTTTTACACATTTTCTTCAGCGTGACTTGTTCTCGGCTTTGATGCACATGGAGCATCTTCAGTGTCCTCCCTGCCATCACGAAATACAGCATACCATCAAAAAATGTTTGAGCGACTCAAACAATCACTACCATCCACACTTTTCATAATTCCGTATGCTTCTCCAGCTGTTTTGCCTAACTTCAAAATTTGATGTTGGCTCTCTGTTCAACCGCCATTTTCCGACGAACGTCAGAGCAGTACTGTTACATTTGAGGTCAGAACACATGATGCAGCAATGCTTGCACTTTGAAATTATAGACAGACACAGCTGAAACTTCAAGAATCCTAATGGATCCTGGACACACCGTGTACATACAACAGAAATTTGCGAATTTATGTTCCAGTCAGTCTAATCAGTTTGATTGTTCTAGCAACTAGAATATTAAAAATATGTAACACTTTATTCCACTTACTGATATCTTCTATAAGTTTGACGATGGTATATTGCTACAAGTATTATGTTTTTGGACATTATCCATCATCTTGTCTATTTTTTAAAAAAGAACATGCTGTTTCTTTTTCAAAACAACATTTCAGAGACTGGATTCTGTCCCCGTCCTCAAGTGAAACCTACTCAGTTGGGTCCAATAGATAAAGGTACCCCCTATCTCCGGAGATGGGGACTAGCTCTATCTATTGGGCAGGACTTTTTTTTTTAAATAGACAAGATGATGGATAATGTCCAAAAACATAATACTTGTAATGATATCTTTTTAATTTCTTTGTTTTTAATGTCTTTAAGAGGAAAATAAGGCGTCATCTTATCATGGATTCTGTTAGCCCTCTTGTACCACTAAATTAATTAGGGATTTTTCCAGTTTTACTGTAACCAGTGGTGTAAGGTTCAGTCCTTTAGCCCAATGTGCCGATGCTGCTGATAGTGTATGGTCAGTTTCTGTTATGTTTCAGTAGGAAACAATTTCTCTGGAGGATACCTGTTGTGTGTTTCTTTTGTATTCTTCTGTATTTATTATGTATTTGTGTTTGTGATAGGCTAACATTTATGGCAAGCACTCTAATAAGTGAATTGAATGTAATTATTATTGTTGTCATTCACGTTTACTCTCGTTCCAGGTGCCAGGTTAAATTGTCGGGTGATATGATGTTGTCTTTTCCTGCGGGCATCGTTGCAGTTCTTGCCAATAATCCGAGCCCTGCACAGCTGTCATTCCGTATTCGCAATACACAACGTCTTGATAATATAGTACCCAACAAACAACTGGTTACAGTGTGAGTTATTTAGTTAGTTGCCATCAGATTTAGATAACATGTGAAATACAGAGGTATGGTGAAATGTCACATTTAGTATCATTTCTTGTGCCAGTTTAATTAACTGGTAAAAACAGTAGAATATCGAAACATCCAAGTAAGAGTTAATGCTATAATTATAAAAGACAAGTCCGTCCAATGTGACTATTTCAATTTTCTCATTTGATGATTCACTAGCCTTACATGTTTCGATCCATTTGGATCATCTTCAGAGGCACCAAACACTTTTTTGAAACCACAATCACAACAGTTATCAATCAAATACACATGTAATGTCCAAGTACACAATGTTCCATCTATCAGTCACAGCAGCCTTTCTGGTTAAAGAAATATTTAAAGTTTTTTTTTAAGTTTTAAAAACTTTGTTAAAAATTAAAATTCATAAACCATACGGTTCGTGTGACAGACCAAAATGAAACAAATAAAAAAAAAAGAGTTAATGCCTTGTTGTTACTTATGAATGCATACAGAAATGTGAGATTTGAAGTTCTTTTGTAAGGAAGAATGCCAGCAAGTATCAGGATTATGATAGTTTTGTGGTAGATGTGTTCCGAAGATAGAGAGTGCAGGTTTCCATTGTAGGGTATCTGTCTATCAAACTGTTACTGGCATCACACGTTAGAAGACCACAAGTTACATACATAAATGCTGTGGACAAAATGTACATTTACATTTATATCTATGTTTCAAATTTCACATTACTTATCACTATGAATTACAGTTATCAGTGTGATTACATATTGTATAATTGAGGTTCTCATGTTGGTATCACTTGTTATGGTCTTTGGGATGTGAGACTGTATAGTTTGGTAGGTCGGTACCAATGTTTCAGAAGAACCTTCTTCAGTTCCTGAAGGTGGAGGGAACAGGCCCCTCCAAGACTTTGGTACACATCTTCCTAACTATGAGGGAAAGTCAGAAATTATCTGCACTTTTGCCATAACATCTTTAGGTTTGTCACATTGCCTTCTGCGCATGCGTGCTTAGAGTTGGTAGAACTGTGGTCATGTGATCGAAGTTTGACCTTGATTGCATCATTTTCCTTAATGCTGTGACAGTGTAAACATGGCTGCTCCGCAAGCAGTGTGCACCAAGGAGGTACAAAGAACAGTGATCCGATTTCTCTGGTTAGAAGGTGTATCAGGGGCTGAAATTCGTCAGAGGCTTTCAGCACAATATGGGGACAGTGCTCTATAGCATAGAAGTGAGTATGAGTGGATCGAAAAGTTTGAAAAGTGGCCAGACAAGAAATTCAAGACCCAGTCTTACACGGGAAAGGTGATGCTAACCGTTTTTTGGGACTCAAAAGGGCCTATACTGGAAGACTACCTGGAAAAAGTATGTACAATCAACAGTGCAAGATACAGTGATTTGCTGGCCAACAATGCAAAGCCAGCAATTCGCACCACGCCGAGGCCTTTTGTCGAAGAAAGTGTTGTTGTTGCGTGACAATGCATGCCCACACATGGCCAGCCAGACCATTGAAACCATTAACCATTTGGGTTTTGAGGTGCTGGAACATCCTGCCTACAGCCCAGATCTCGCCCCTTCTGACTATGCTTTACGAGGTTGTAGATTTTCTACGGACAAAGAAGTGCGGGAAGCGGTACATAAATGGTTGCGTGACCAACCGGAACCTTCTTTTTGGAGGGAATACACAAGCTAGTAGACCACTGAATCAAGGGCATCGAAAAGGAAGGAGACTATGTAGAAAAATGGCGTACTTGCTCAACCCCTACTTTTATGTATAATTTGGAAAAACAAGTGTGAGGATAATTTTTGACTTCCCTGCGTATATAATATCACAGCCCAGAAGACCATAATTAGGATTTTCCATGTTGTTCCTTACAATGGCATTCAACATTTTGTGGTCCTACATTGCACGACACTAGTGTAAGTGAATGTTCCCTGTTTCTTGAAGGGCATCAGAAAATTGAGAGTGATGAACACATTTCAAGGAGACTTCATTCAAACTAAATCATTCTGCTACTTGCAGCTCCACTTGCATGTAGTGGCTTTTCTTTTTGTAGAGACAAATAGAACAGTCATCTATCCCCCACCTGTAAGAGAGATTCACACTGAAACTTATTCTGCCCAATATTCCAAGACTTTTTATTCCTGTGAAAAGGTTTGTGTACATAGGGACTTTTGAAGTGGTTATCAAGAAGAGTAATTTATTATTTTCACTGTTTTTTCCAATATCTATTAAAGATTTTCTCTTATTTACGTAACGTGCACAGAAAAGAGACCATGTGTTAGGAGCCATCCTTCACTGCCAAAGTCTCACCCATTACTACTATATGCCCACAGGTTTCACCCACATTTTGCCCATAATTCATTACAAATGCTTATATATATCACAATAAACATGTAGATTTGTATTTAATATTGTGTTACACGTTAGACCTAAATCCCATTATTGGAACATGCATAACCTTTTTATATTACACATATAAGATGCATGCCTTCCATGAGCCTGTGCCGTAGCTCAGGCAATTAAATGCTGGCTTCCCACCGTGGTAGCCTGGGTTCAAGCCTGGGTCTGGTCATAGGGATTTGTGGTGGACAAAGTGGCGCTGGGGCAGGTTTTCTCCAAGTACTTCAACTTCCCTTGCCAATCTTCATTCCACCAATTGTTCGACAATCACCATCATCTGTCATCTGAGGCTGGTACAATAGGCCAGTAATGACTGCAGTACCAAGTGGACTCAGTCTCACCCCCACTGCTGGCCTTTGATCATGTAGAACAGCTGACTGTACCTTGTTTTTAATCTTACAAATGGTGAATGTTGTTGATGAAGTCAGTCCATAGCATCTGCCTATTTCAGCTCTGATGAGCTGTGAACTTCGCATAGACACGATACTCAAGCTTTGTATTCAAGGCAGAGAGAGAGAGAGTGTGTGATAATGGTCCGCCAGCTATAAATAACTTCAGAGCCAAGAATTCAAGTACAGTTGATGCAAAATTTGCAGGTAGTCAGGAATTGTTTATAATAGCAAAATTTCCAAAAAAAAAAGAAAAAAGAATGGTTTGTTTTACATGATATTTTTTGTATATGTGTAATAAAGTAATTGACTGTGCTTGTGATTTTGCTCAATATAATGGAGTTCGTCTTATAAGCTGTACTTGTTCTGTCATCACACTGTACTTCATAATTTCAGTTCAAAGGTATTTTACTGTTACAGAGGAAAAAACTCCTAAAGTCTTATGTCCTGTCCATCTTCTTGATCCTTTATTAAAGAGTGTTTTCTTTTTTTAATTCTGTTGGTTAAAAAGCCATATTGAATTCATGTGTAGTTCTTGCTACCATGGGATTTTCTTGCAAATGTTAAGTAAATATGTATTTCCAGAGATTCTGCACAGTCTAGTAATGAGAGTATACTATTCGAGTTCAACATGAGTGCCTTAACCGCACTGCTAAGAAGACAGTCTGAACAAAATCCATCAGCATCTTACTTCAATGTTGATATCCTGAAGTATCAGGTTAGTATTTCCTATGTGAAGGAGCAACATATTGCAGTAGTCTAGAAATAATCATGATAAAGAAAATTTGTTTCTGTCTGTGTCTTATAACCTGAATCCAGGTCAGAATCATTAGTCATCTGTAAAGGTAAATATAATTGAGGAAGGAATGAAGTGAGTAAATGAATTCTGTCACTCAGTTTAAAATTTGTATCTTCTTTCTGAAAATCTTTCAGTTGAAGTTGTAACATTTTTTTGCCTGTTGTGGTGTATGGGTATTCAACTCATCATTTGCTGTGAGAGAGAGAGAAAAATTAAAGTATTCGGAACAAGTTATGAGACTGTCTTGAACTTAGGAAGATGAGCTAACTGGGAAGGGCATAATTGCAAAATGAGTTTCATAGTTTGTATTCTTCATCTAGCATTATTAGGTTAGTACTGAATGTTGCTGGTTTGACTTCATCCTGTGCGCCATGTCTTTCTGTGCAACTTACTAAATGTTATTCACTTTAAAAGTTTTACGCATCACATAACTTTTAACTTTTTAAGAGTTTTTCGCTACGTGTTTTGGACCAGTATGGTCATCATAGGATGTTTAAAATTATACTTGAGGAAACTGCTGTGCTTCTGTTGTCGTGACTTCAGTTACTATTTTTGTGTAATGTATGGTCCCCTCTATGCTCATGTGTATTCAAAGTGGTGGGTTGTTCCTCTTGCCTTGTGCTCTGTGTCTTTTTTTTTTTAGGAAATCATTCATTTGAAACTATATGATCGAGCTTGTAGACTTGTGTTTGGGAGCTGCTGTTTTGGCTGTAGTTTTTAATAATATTTCTCAGTCCCTTCAGGCAGATGCCAGATAGTATGTCAGCCGATGATTGCTTTCTTCAGAATCCATTTCGTTATTCACCAGTTACTGGCCAGTCTGACATATCTGATAGCTGTCTACATATAAATAATAGCTGATTCTTGTCACTCTCAGTGAGAACCCAGTACTTTGTTATAATGCTAGTGCTAGAGTATTGGGATAACCTAAACTGTCTTGTGCCATTGCCAAGATATGGGGAGAGGAAGACAGTAGGATGGACAAATAAAAAGGATGTAAAATCGATACAGAAATAGGGAGAAGGAGATATGTAAAGATGAAAAAACCAAAGGCTGCAGTGATGGAATTTTAACACTTTGCAGACTGGCGATTTAAATATTTAAATCACCCTGGGGACCGGCATTTTTATACCTGCTACCCTAACTTGTGCACTGTTCACTTTAAAAATTAATATAAAATCTCATAATTAATTTTACGAACTAAAATTTTTGGAGAACACTTACCAGTGCTCCTAGAAGTGCTTGAGAGTGCGATATTTCTGGAAACACTCCCCTTTGTGAAGTGGCATACACACTTTCAAATGTAGACAGTCATAGTCCTTTTTTTGTGAACTTCACAAACTTGCCATTGCCTAGAAGAATGCTTCCCCTTGGAATGTTCACTCTTCACAGTTTTCACGAGGGTATGTTTCTGCATATCACCCGAGAGTCGCTCAGGGGTGTCCACATGAGGCCTGTGTGGGGTGGGAGTTTGTGGGCTAGGTCACACTAAGTCTGTCTGACTCTGGTTCTGCCGCCACCATCTGGTCTGTAGCCCAAGCCTTTGCCACATTCATCAGAAATGCTTTGTATTTCAGTTTAGAATCAGGGTTTAGATTTTTGTAAACCAAAATTAATTGAAAATGGCACAATTTATAAGCCACAAGGCAACTTTCACTTTTATTATCTGTGGCCACAATTCCTTGTTGACCCCTGTCACTTCCACTAATCACTACTCCTCCACAAGGCACGTCAGATAGCTCCATAAACAAGTCCGAGAGAGATCGCTTGCCTTCAACCACTTTTGTCCTTGAAACATATTCCCCTCTACTAATTTCTGCCTGGGATGTAAAGAGCTGGAAGGGACAAAGTTTATTTTCTTTTGGAGTAGGGACCCTAGCCAGCCAGGTCAAGTTACTGAATGCCTAGCATACATTCCAAAGATTTATTACGCAGTATTCATTGCAGTTGCATGGCGCCAGAGCAAGGTATAGTGTGTATCAACATAAAGTGTCCTAAAGTCATCATAATATGCTACCGGTCCGCAACGTTTAAAAGCGAAAAACCTTTTAAAGGGCGCGCGGTCAGCAAAGTGTTAAGTGCCTTGATTGCTAGAAGAATTTCTTCACCTTATTTTGTTATTTTTAATACATTTATTATTTTTATTGTTGCTTAATTTTCATGTTTTTGAAATTGCAAATTATATATGTAATTTCATGTTATATATTCCCAGTATTAACAGATTACATTATTGTTTGCAGTCTTTGATCTACGACCTCTAATATTTCTCATTTTACTCTGGTCTCGGAAATAAACCCATCTTATAAAGCAGTAATATCTGTATATGTTGTTGTGGAAACAGTTTTTTATGAATTATTCCATTGGGTACAACTTTGAAGTGTACTTTATGTTGTGCAACCTCATGCTCACGTGTGTATTTGCGTCACCCATTAAAAAGTTCAGTCTAAACCTGTCAGCGCATTTGCTACTCTGGTCATGCAATTACATATAGTCCATATTTCATAATATCCTCACTTCACAAATTCAAGGTGCAGCCTTGAAATAATATGAAAGTAAAGATACAAGACAGAAAACAGCCTTTGTTAGTGTGAGCCATGCCATGAATGTTTGTTTTATTTTTGAATAATGTAGTTCATATTTTCTTTCATTCAGTTTATTTTCAGAATAATATATGAGTACACTGTATACTGGCCTACAATAGTACAACACGTTTGATAACATGTCCTACCAGCACTGTAAATTTCAAAAACTAATTCTGTGCAACATCTGAATTGGAAAACATTATTTTACAAATACATATAAACTTACAAACAAGCAGGTATTTATAGACACCATGTGGTTCTCTCTATAACATTTGTGAGTCACTAGCACACTGCCTCCTTATGAGGTCCTATCAGAAAGTTCCCACGCTGCTATTGTCGTACCTGGCTCGGTGAAATAAGATAAGAGAGGAGGCTAAGATCACACTTCAGCAAGCCTATTGAATCAGTCTGCCATGTGACACCGTGCTGTGAACATGCATTGTTTCTACACAAGTGCTTTTTCGACTTCATGTTTCATTTTGTCTGCGATGGATGGCAAAATAGAGCAACATGTCTGCATCCAGTTTTGCATGAAGCTCATAAAATCCCCTACCAAAACCCTTGATATGCTAAGTGAGTCTTTTGGAGAACATTCTTTAAGCCTGACAGTGGATTTTGAGTGGCATTCATGTTTCAAAGCCAGTCGAGTGTCAGTTGAGGATGACGAACATTCAGGGCAACCAGGCACCAGCAAAATGACAGAAAATGTTGAAAAAATTCAAAAAGTGATCCACAAAGACAGTCATTGAACAATTCATTAACTCACACACACCACTGTTATCAGGGGTGGAGTTTGCCAGGAGATCTTAACAGAAAATTTGAACATGCACCACATTGCCACGAAGTTTGTTCTCTGACTCTTGACAAATGATCAAAAGCAGTGGCATATAAACGTGTGTCTTGAGCTATGGGAAAAAGCTACAAAGGACCCAACTTTTATCTCTAGGATTGTAACGGGTAATGGAAGTTGGATTTATGGTTATGATCCAGAAACAAAGCAATGATCGTCGCAGTGGAGGAGCCCACAGTCACCAAGAACAAAAAAGACATGGCAGGTCCTGAGTTCAACAAAGAGCATGCTCTTTTTTTTTTCTACATGATGGGGATTGTTTACTGTGAATTTTTTCCTCCTTACACTACGATTAACTCTGACTTTTACTGTGACGTTTTGAGATGCTTGAGAGAAAATGTGCAACGAGAAAGACCAGAACTTTGGTTCAACCACAACTGGCTCCTTCATCGTGACAATGCCCCTGCCCACACTTCCCTAAAAAAACCAAAGAGTTAGTGACTAACAACAACATCGTTATCATTCCCCATCCTTCTTACACACTGGACTTAGCCCCTTGTGATTTTACTTTGTTTCCCAAATTGAAAATGAAACTGAAATGATGACATTTTGAAAAAGTGTCTGACTCGACAGCATTAAGGAAAATCACTTCCACGGTGCTTTTGAAGCTTGGAAAATACGTTCCCAAGGAGACTATTTTGAAGATGATGGCAGACAAATTTGAGTAAGTTAAGACAGCATTTCTTTTTTGACCTACTCCAGGGACTTTCTGATACACCTCATAAGCACTTAGAAAGAATAATGTTAAGGAGGGATAGGAAGGGAGGAATAGATGAGTGAATATAGGACAGACCATATGAGTGGAAGAGTAGTACACAGACAGGATGTTAGGGGATTAAAAGTATTGTCACGATTATAGTGATTACAGACTGGGTTTGGATTGGTAATCATTAAATTATTACAACTTGTAACTGCAAGTAAGGATTATGTTATCGCTGTTCTACACACTTCATAAACTGCTACAAGACACACTAGGTCTTTTCAGTCTGTTACAGTCTTCACTTGTCGTTGCTTGGTAGTGGCTTCTAACAGCAGATGTTTCCCGTCCTTTGGGTTCCCGAACAGTACCTGGCCTCAGCAATGGCTCACAACCGCTGAACCCCAGCAGTCCTCTTAACACCTCACTTGATCTGCTTATAACATCTCGGCACAGACTGGTCAGAAAACACTGTCCTGTTACATTTCATTACATTACATTTCATTGCATTCCATGGATTCAGAGTTAGTCAAAATGACTGTAGGATGTGGAATATGTCATATAAATACAAAACATATGTACAGTCCCAATGGAGTTCTCACACGAGAGAAACCAAGAATACACAGTGNCATAAGTTATTTTCTAGACAACAAGTATTCATCAACAGAGTAGAATGAATGTGTATTTAAGTATCGTTTCAGTGCTATTTTAAATTGTGCCTTTTCATTCATAAGATGATTGAGATCAGATGGCAGGTTATTAAAAATGTGGATCCCAGCATAATATGCGCTTTTCTGAAAGCATGAGAGGTTAGCAATTGGTTTATGAAGACAGTGTTTGTGTCTTGTGTTAACACTGTGTACATCCGCATTCGTCTGAAAATGTTCTTCATTATTTGTAATGAAGTCAATTAATGAATATATTTATACATTCACAAGGAAAAGTTAAGATCTGTAGTCTGTTAAATAGATTACAGGAATTACAGTATTTGACACCTATCATGATTCTAACAATTTTCTTTTGCAATGTAAATACCTTTTTACTGTCAGATGAAGTACCCCAGAAAATTATTGCATACTTCATTAAAGAGTGAAAGTAAGCAAAATAGAATGATTTGAGAGTGTCAATGTTACTGATACGTAACATTAATCTTACTGCATAACATGCTCTACTTAACGTTGGAATCAACTGATCGATATGGTTTTTCCAATTTAAATGATTATCAATTTGCAAGCCAAGGAATTTTGTGTTTACTCCCTCTTCTATATATTTATCAATATATCCTGTGTTTAATGGATACATGGTGTGTTCAAAAAGTATCGAACCTTTGGTCGGCAGAAATACATTTCTTGATTTGGAGGTACAAAACCCTAATCCCCTTCAAAGTAGTCTCCTTGGTAATGCACACACTTCTCCCAGTGCTTCTGCCATTTTTTGAAACACTTCTGGAATGCGTCTTTTGGAATGGTGATCAGCCGGGCCATCACATTCCGCATGATGTCGTCTCTTGACTCAAATCAGATTCCTTTCAGCAGCATTTTCAGCTTGGGAAATAGCCAAAAGTCACACGGAGCCATGTCAGGGGAGTAGAGAGCCTGAGGAACCACAGGAATGTTGTGTTTGGCGAAGAAAGTCGGAATCAGATGCACAGAATGGGCGGGCGCATTATCATGATGTAGCTGCCAAGTTTTTGCTGCCCACGCACAGCATCACGAAGGCGACGAAGGACCTCCTGGTAGTATTCCTTTGTGATGGTTTGGCCTTGTGGTTCGTACTCATGATGCACAACCCCACGGGAGTCGTCAAAAACAGCCAACATGACCTTGACATTGCTGCGGACCTGCCGTGCTTTTTTTGGCCTCAGGGATGTCGGATGTTTCCACTGTGACAACTGCATCTTGGTTTCTTGGTCGTACCCATAAACCCACGACTCATCGCCTGTGATTACGATGTTCAGAAAGTTGGGGTTACTGTTTGCATTGTCCAGCATGTCCTGTGCGGTTTCCAGACGGCGTTGGTTCTGCTCCATTGTTAGCAGTTTCGGTACGAATTTCGTGGACACTGTCCTCATGCCCAAATCTCCGGTCAAAATTGAATGTGCCGAACCAATGTTTACCCCTATCTCATTCGCAAGTTCTCAGACTGTGATATGACGGTCCTCCATGACCAAAGTCCGCACTTGCTCAATGACATTCTCATTTCGGCTTGTTGAGGGTCTGCCTGAACGCGGTACGCTGTCCACTGATGTGCGGCCATCTTTGAAGCGGTTGTACCACTCCTTTATCCATGAGTTGCTCATGGCATCGTCCCCGAAAGCCTGTTGAATCTTGCGATTGGTTTCCACTTGGGTATCGCCAAACTTTTGGCAAAATTTGATGCAATATCGCTGCTCATGTTGTTCCGTCAGTTTACACCTTACTGGACTCCGACGAGTGCTCATTATATGTCCTCAGTCATAGGCCGACTGCCAGCGACTGATGCTTTCTGCGGGCGGGAAAAAATTCACGACTGCGCATGAATGTCCCCTCCACATCTCCACCGAAGGGAGCCTCCCGCGCTTCATTGGTTTACGTGGGAAAAAGGAAGGTCTGATACTTTTTAAACACACCACGTACCATGACATGTTACTTGTTACCATTCATGGTGTTGCTTTTTTGGCAGAAAAATTTACAATGATAATGTTTTATGTCTGCAATTAGGTTAAGCCGAAGAGTGGCGCAGGGTCATGTCCTTTCCAGTTGGTTGCATACTGGAAATGTGAACCAAGTCATACAGATCTTAAGGTGGACTATAAGTACAATAGCCATGCCATGGCCTCACCATCTCCTTTGCTTAATCTGATGGTAGCAGTTCCCGTGGATGGTGGAGTCAAGTCCATGCAGTCAAAACCGACAGCACAGTGGTGAGTCATCTGTTTGGTGTTTATAAATCATGAGAACGATTCAGATTTAGAACATTTTTCTTTTTCCTAAAATAGAACCTCATTACCTCAATCATTATTAGGAGTTTGCTGTGTTATCCTATTGCTAAATAAACTTGTTTCAGGAATGTGATCTGCTACTCTTTCCAAAATCCATATGATGATCTGTTGTATTTCTTTGAGCAAAGAGTGCATTATAGGTATTGGAAATTGTGAGGACACCTTCAGATTGGGCACATTTACCTGCTACATGGCCATTTGTTACAAGGTGACCCTGCTGCTCTCCATGTTCACTGTGGTCTCCCCTTTACCTTCTCACCTGCACTTTTGAATGCCCACATTTTGACAAAGATCACTCTATACTTGGTGTTCAAGGCACATTGCGCAACATCTTCAGCGGTAAGGTATCCAAGTTTGTGGCTCTCCTTCAATGTACGTGGGTTGATAAGTTTATTTAAGTGTTTTCCTTTAAAATCCAGCCCAAGTCATCACAGGCTCATTATCGTAACGTGGCCTGATTACAACCTGTCTTGCTGAACTTTGTTACTGTAATATTATTGCTCTTGTCCTAAGTAACTTTATATGATTTTATATAGCTTATTGAGCACCAACTTGAACTGTATATGCTCGTTATTGTTTCAAGCTTTTTATTGAGTCTGTTAAAAGATGCTTTAATGTTTCTTTTGCTGACCTTTTTACCATTTCACGGTTTCATGTAGAACTGTTTTAGAATTAATTATGTACTCGATTCCCTAAACGAAGATCCACTTAAAATACTATCCAGGCACAAATAGCTGTCAGTGGTGATGCATCTCTAAACACACACAAACGAGTTATTGCTATCTACCAAAGATCTAAAGATAATAATACATGTATAAGCGCAGGGACTTGCTGCCATTTCCATGTGGCTGCGAGGGCAGGCACCGTGCCATGTAAAAATATTCAGGCGCTTAGTCATGTAATATTCGTCAGTTCAAGTTTAAGTTTGCATTTTCTGATTTCCCATATTCTTTGCAGCCGAATGCCATTATGCTACTTTTAAATGGGACATTACTGCTTCCTGTCAAATACGTTTCAGTCTGCCATTAAATAAGCTGTGAACTAACCAGCCAACCACAAATTTTGCGGAATATATGTTGAGATGGAGGTGGGCAGGGCATGTAGCACGAATGGGGGAGACGAGGAATGCATAGAGGATATTGGTGAGAAAACCAGAAGGAAAGAGACCACTGGGAAGACCAAGGCATAGATGGGTGGACAATATTAAAATGGATCTTAGAGAGATGGGATGTTATGGATTGGATTGATCTGGCTCAGAACAGGGACACTGTAATGAACCTTCGGGTTCCATAAAATTCTGGGAAATTCTTGAGTAGCTGCAGAATTGGCGGCTCCTCAAGAAGGACTGAGCTCCATGAGTAAGTAATATGTTGAGATGTGCTTCAAAATATGTTTAACCGAAACTTATAGCCCATATAGGTAAACATTTTTTGGTATGTTTTCATATTCAGAGTGGTCTGAAATGAGCAGAAGTTGTAACGCCATTGCTTTTCAACTTTGCTTTAGAATAGACTATTAAGGAGGTTCAAGAAAACCAGGTTGGTCTGAAACTGAATGGTACACATCACCTCTTGGTTTATACTAATATTATTTTGTTTTGGGTAAACAGAAATGCATAGAGGCTCTAATAATTTTGGTCTACACATAAATACAGACAGTACTAAGTATATTATAGCGGTTGGAGAGTAATCACTGTGGAGAAACCAAGCCACAGGAAGTGACATCACAAGTAGACACTGCAGAAGGAACGGGTGGTGGTTCTCTGATAAGCTATCTGGGATTAACAGCCTTAGGGAGGGAGCAAGGTAATGTGGATAGCCAGAGCGTTGCTAGGTAATGGACTGGTAAACATCCCTTGACCAAATACATACAAGGTAATGATGGAAGATCTGCCTCAGTAGAGGAATGTTATTGTGCATTGCTAGGCAACAATGCACCACTGAAGACACTGGCTAGGAATCACATGACTTGTTCTCTGTGTGGTCCATGCAGAGGCTATATAACGAGAATAACATCAGCAGTTCAGTTCAGTTCAGTTCTCAGTAGGAGACAGTGACAGGAATTTCATAGACGACCTGTGAAGACTTAAGTGTGATAAGAAGACTTAATTCATGTGTAATACTTGGAGTGTGATAACCTAGATGAGATGTACTGCACATTTAACCTTTTTGGTGTATGACCAAGAAAAATAAAATCTGAGATATAGAATAAAATAAATTATTTAGTGTTAAGGTGGGCCACATTCAGTAATTGGAAGAAGATCAATGCAAATGCTGCCTAAATAAACTGATGAGCTATGTGTTTGGTTGCAGAAAATTGCATAATGGGGAACTTGATAACTTTGTGCTCTGTCAAATATTATTACAATGATTAAATCATGAATATTGAGATGACCAGGGCATGTAGCGTGCATGGGAGAGGCATGTATATGGTACTTTAGTTGGAAAACCTGAAGGAAGGAAACCATGAGGAAGACCTGTAAATACGTAGCACGTGCACAAAGTAAGTTTCCCACTTGTCCCACAGCTAAAACCCTATATTGCGTGAAGTGACTGCACATACGTGATAGAGCAATGACGTAGCATGGCGCATGCATTAACAGAATATCGCGCGTTCCCACAGTAGCATTGTTGCAACTGTTGAAGATGGAGGCTCTTATTCCAGCTCCCGCCAACTGCGAAGTGTGGTCAGTGATAAAGTTTTTGAATGCACAGAGCATAGCACCGATCAAAATTCATCGTCAACTGTGCCAGGTCTATGGGCCTAACATCATGAGCAAGCAGATGGTGCGTCATTGATGTAGACAGTTTTCAGCAGGTCGACAAAGTGTGCATGATGAGAAGCACAGTGGGCGGCCATCCATCATTACAGACGACCTGGTGGAGCTTGTGCGGGAACGCATTATGGAGAATTGTCGCGTCACAATTACAGAACTCAGCAGGCATGTCCCGCAGATTTCCCGCTCCTTGTTGCACGAAATTGTCACAGAGCACCTGTTGTTCAGGAAATTGTGTGCAAGGTGGGTGCTGAAGCAACTGACACCAGAACACAAAACAAAGCGCATGGAGTCAGCATTGACATTTCTGCAGCGGTACCATGATGACGGCGACGAGTTTCTGGAACAGATCATCACAGGTGATGAAACGTGGATTGCACACATTACCCCAGAAACCAAGCAGCAGTCAATGCATTGGCGTCACAGTGGATCTCCCTGTAAGACAAAATTCAAGCAGACGTCGGCTTGGAAAGTGATGTGCACGGTATTCTGGAACAGACGGGGCGATCTCCACATCGACTTCCTGACCAGAGGTGAGACGGTGAATGCTGAGTGTTACTGTGAAACACGGCAGAAATTGCAACGGACCATTCAGAACAAGCGGCGCAGGATGCTTCGTGCCCGTATTGTCTTCCTGCATGATAATTCTAGGCCGCACACAGCTCATCGGACAGCAAGTCTCCTGCAGGAGTTGAGCTGGGAGGTGTTTAATCATCCACCCTACAGCCCGGACCTCGCTTCAAGTGGTTTCCATCTTTTCATACACCTCAAGAAATTCTTGTCCGGTGAGCATCAGCGTTTTGAGAATGACAGAGGCAGAGATGGTTGTCACACAGTGGTTCCAATCCCAGGCGGCAGACTTCTACGACACAGGTATTCAAAAGTTGGTCCCACGGTATGACAGATGTCTCAATTCCGGTGGCGATTATGTTGAAAAATAGCTGAACACTTGCTGTATCTGTTGCAATAAATATTTCCATGAAATTATGTTTTATTTCTGCAAATGGTCCCAGGGAAACTTACTTTGTAGACAAGCCTCATAGTTGAGAGGATAATATTAAAATGAATGTTAGATAAGTAGGATTGGGAGGGGTGTGGATTGGATTTGAGTGGCTCAGGTTAGGGACCATTGTCAGGCCCATGTGAACATGGTAGTGAACCTTTGAAGCCATAACATTCTGGGAAGCATTTGAGTGGCTGAGCAATTGTCAGCTGCTCAGAAAGGACTCAGCTCCATGGAATTGCATGGGTGGCTGGTTGGTCGGATGTGTATGGAAATTTGCTGTGTTATTACAGTAATTAAATTTTCTATGTATTCTTTAGATCAGGAACAGCAAGCTGTCTGTGCAGAAGAGAGGGTTAAATGAAAGGATGTTGTAAACAGACACACCACAAACTATGGCCAATATTTTTAATAATTTTTTATAATGCCACCAAATCAAATGCAATCTAACAAACCTACTGATGTATCTAACTCCTTAAGTTACCTCTTTGAGGTGTATAAACAACCGTTTCCAACCATAAATATGACCCCAGTAACTAAAAGAGAAATTAAAGATATAATCAAGTCATTAAAATGGAAGAATTCTAAGGGATATGATGAGATTCCACAAAACATCCTAAAAATAAATATGCCTTTCATTTTATTCCCATTAGTTTACATATGCAATAAATCATTGAATTTAGGTATATTTCCTACTCGATTAAAATATTCACAAATAAGTCATATTTATAAAAAGGGAGACAAGACAGTTATGGCCAATTATAGGCCAGTATCCTTGCTGACATCTTTTTCAAAAATTTTTGAAAAGTTCATTTACAATAGAGTTCAATATCATATAGATGCTAATAATATTCTTGCTCAAAGGACAGTATGGTTTTAGAGCTAAACCATCCACTGATATAGCTAGGTATAATCTAATAAATAATATTTTACTGGCACTCAATTGTAAATTATCAGCGGGAGGACTATTCTGTGATCTAACCAAGGCATTATACTCTGTAAATTGCAATGTATTATTATCCAAACTAGAGTTTTATGGTATTAATGGCAGTATTGGAAAATTGATTAAATCCTACCTGAGTGACAGATATCAGAGAACATTAATAAATAATAATTATTGTATGTGTATTTCTGATTGGCAGAAAGTTAAACAAGGTGTGCCACAGGGTTCAATACTTGGCCCCTTGTTCTTTCCTTTATATACTTGCCTTACTTAATAAATAAAATATCAAAACCTATTTTGTATGCTGATGATATCGGCATACTATGTTTCAATTCTGATTCTGTGGAACATATAATGGTATTGAAAACGATACTGGACAAAATAGACACATGGTTTACGAATAATTCGTTATCATTAAATTTTAACAAAACTAACTATGTGCATTTTTCATCAAAAGTAAATATTAGGTCAAACATAAATGTAAACTATATGGATGTTCAAATTAAAAATACTTGTAATACAAAATTCCTAGGACTAATCATAGATAATACCTTATCATGGAAAGATCAAATAAATCAGTTGGTAACTAAGCTGAGTGCAGCTAGTTATTCGATTAGAACCCTATGTGCAGTTATGACTCAGGAGAGTTTAAGGATGGTTTATTTTGCATATGTACATTCCATTATGTTGTATGGAATAATATTTTGGGGCAATTCGTCTCATAGTAATTTAATTTTCAGAATTCAAAAATGAATAGTGAGAATTATTATGAAGGCAAGAAATAAGGGCTCTTGTCGTCCATTATTCAGGCAATTAAATATTCTGCCCTTATATTCTCAATATATATTTTCTGTATCAATTTTTGTAGTTAAGAATTTAGATGTATTTAAATTCTGCTATACACAGCATTAACACCAGACAAGGCTTTGACTTACATTTTCCACTTATTAAATTAGCTAAAGTGCAGAAGGGTGTATATTATTCAGGAATTAGGATATTCAATAATCTACCACAAGGCATCAGGAATCTATTAAATGATATTACTAAATTGAAGCAGACTCTAAAAGAGTTTCTTCTTGCTGGTTCATTTTATTCTTTTAAGTGAATATTATGAATGGAACACAAGGAGTGATCTTGGTTCTTATAAATAGTATCTAAAATTAATCTTGACACGTTCTATTAACTAAAAATATATAAATAATCATCTACTTTAGATCTGCATACATACCTACTGTGACTTTTATTTATTTTAACAATCAATATCTTGTTTTATATGAATTTATTTATTTATTTATTTATGAATATATTTATTACCATAATAGTTATTTAATGCCCTTCTGAGAGAAGTTACTTATTCCATTTATTGTTGATGCATGTTAAAGGTTTCTATAGTTTTTCTTTTGATGTGTGAGTGGTGTAACATACATTATTTTATATTGTATTGTTTATTGATAATATCCATTCATACACATTGTTTTTATAAACTGGATGAATTTTATAAGATAAAAGGTTAATATGTTTTCATCTAGTATTTAAGTCTTGTTGTAGTCACATTTTATTATGTTTAGTGACTGTGTTGTCTGTGTTTTATATTATGGAATTTTGACTTGTTTCAGTGATTTGTTGAAACAATTTTGGACACATTCTATATCCAGTGGTGTGTGAACTTGTTTCTCACCCTGCAATTGGATCTACTTGAATATGGGAATAAATTATATTAAATTAAACTATGTATGGGCAGTAGTTGTTCTATAAATAGCTTCTTCTGTTTGTATGGGTCAGTGGATGAAAAATCTCCAATCTCCACAAAATCTTTCTGTTCTTTATCTTCATTACGTATGAAGTGAGATGCAGCTGACATGGACCATGTTGCAGGCTAGCAGACAGTAACCGAGCTATATGGAAATTCACTGAGCTCTCACAGCACAGTGAGAATCATGGAGTGGGCTCTCTGCGTGCTCGTTTGGAAGTCACCAGTGGCCCAAGTTCTCAAGGAACAATTGCCACACAGTTTAACTGTGAAGGTACAACTCTTTCTGGAGTGGAATTTGAGCTGGTTGGAACTGGGTACAGACTATCTCTGGTTAAGCGCAGATTTGTTTCAGGTGAGAAAGAAGGCTGTTGAATACCCTGGTTCTTTCTGAGTTCATGGTATTTTTCGTAATCACATCACATACATTATTTGAAATTTATGAAGTTTAGAATGCAGAATCAGGAATTGCATCTTAGAGAAGCATTTCTGAAGCTGTATCATATCTCTGTTTTTGGTTTATCCAGTCGATCATAGTGTATGTATCAAGTGATATGAACATTAGTGAGTATTGAATTGGAAAGGATATGGAAAGAAATGGTTGTGGCCTAGTTTTAGGGTACTATCCCAGCATTTTCCCAGAGAGGATCACTCATCCATGATGATAGTTGCTCCATCAAATTGTGTATTACAGATACTAGTGACAATACTGTACAGTAGAATTGAGATGCTAGCCATCTTGCTTTGTATTTAAGAATTTTTGGGTTTGATTGTAGCTCTGGAGGCCAACAATTTTTAGATCTTTCATGGTGTTTCGCAGCTACTCTGTACCAGTGCTTGGATAGCACTTTAAAATAGGCCGTAATCACTGCCACATTCCTCTCAAATCATCATTTGCAGTCATCTTCCCATTCATTGCTATATAACCCATGCAGCTAAAAGAACAATCATTTAATAACCAAGATGCCTAGAGCAAAAATTGTAACATGAGATATCCATTTGAGTATGTTAAAATTATCCTTACTGGGAGACAAAAACAAGCGCTTTAGTCTAGATTATGGAAGATAGATTGCAGCTGTAGGAAGAGTTTCTGTTTTTTACCATGTTTTTGAATAAAATAAAATTTAATGTCCTTCATCTACAGAAGGTGCCAGCAAGTGCATATAGGTGGCTTAGAAAAGTAGCTATGCATGTCTCAGAACTTTGCTGTAGAGCAGTGGTTCTGATTGCGAAAGGTATGTGGACACCTGTAAAGGGTGTATGAAATACATTCCATGCTACATCAAACACATGTTTGAAGGACCTAAAAGAAATATCATGATGCCTTTCTTGTGTACATTTCTTCTATGCATAGGATAAATAATGTCTGTTTAAAATGAAGTTTTTTTATCTTTTATTTATAATGCACAATAGCATGTCATTTGAGGTAAAAATTATGTTGCTCCTGCAAAGGATACCTGAGTTCTTATGCTGGGACACTTTGATCTGTTTTATGTTAAGTAATTATTGTGAAATTTTTCATTAAAAATCTTTATGTCTTGTACAACTTTATTATATTTTCAAATTTCTATGACTCGTTACACTCCCCAGTATGAGTCCATGTTGATAAGGCCTTATGTTCTCAGGATCACTTGAATAATAGTACTCATGAAGTATGGCAGACTCATTCTGAATCACCTTGTGCATGGGATATGTGAGGAATGCCTTTTCCCGCTTAGCTCTTTCTTGTTGAAGTACCCAGTTCCATGTTTTGTAGACTTAATAATCCATCATTGTTGTAGGAAAATATATCTGCGATGGAGACCCGGATCCCAAGTACAGATACGCAGCTCCTCCAAGTTCAGAATGCTAGCAGCCAATGTTCTTTGTACCTCATGTTCAGTCATCATATATGCCACTGAATGGTTTGTGCCTCTTACACAGCCAAATGTTGCCAAGAAGAGAATGGGTATGTGTGTGGACTGCCATTGTTATTGTCAGCTGTTGCAAGTGCAGACAAAATTGGGTGACTTGGTAAGTGAAGCTGACCATCAGATTTTGAGAAAGTGGATAATTATGTAATTTGGTTCCTTGGCCAACAATAACTATTTGATGTTCTTTATGAAGATGTCTTTTTCAATACAGAACTTGATCAAGAATTTATTCTTGTTGGCCATACTTTCCCTTTCCCAGTGTGGTACAAGTGCACTTGCCTACTGCCTATTGCTTGGTATTACCAACAATTTTTATTCCCAAAATGTACAATGTATATAATCAAATGAAGTCAGTTTTTATTTGAACTTCTTTTTTCTCCTTCCAGTATTAGAGGTACAATGTATGATAACTTATATGTATATTGTAAGAGTAATGAAAGAAAGTTCAAGAATTCATAGAGCAATTTATTTCTGTCAGATTAACAGCTATGACATGCTACAGATTCTCAGTTATCTGTATCTGTGCAGTGCAGGAACAGTGCATTATTTTAATAATAGGAATTACTTTATAGAGATTATGTTCTACATCAGAAATTTTGATGTTGAGCTGTGGAATAGTTATTAACTTCATTTTTGGTCGTGTTGACCAATGGTAGAAATAGTATAATTAGTTTTTAAACCTTGAATTTCCATTCAAATCTTCACTTAACCACATTGTAGCATTCACTGTATTTTGCTGTCAGTTTTTGTGTCATAGTATATTCATAAAACATTCCTTGGTAGCTCAGGAGATCATTTGGTCATGTGATAGGCTATCTGCAAACCTATATGTTTCATCAACACTTTCTTAGCATTGTAACCATATAGTGTGATTGTAAATACTCACTGATGTACTGTGCTCATTATGGTGTATTGTCTTGGCATAAACTTGTTAATTGTCGCTGATTATTATGTTTTCACTATGTACTCTTTCTGTAAAACTGAACATCTTAGTGTTCATAGCATACCTTATGCAATCAGAAATATTGGTAGTAATTAATTCTTACATATGTGCTGTGTTAATAACAATAGAATTTCTGCCACATTATGGTAACTCTAATAATACAGTGTCCATGAACACATGCATTTGTTACCCCAAATCTGCATTACGTTACATTACACTGCATGCATTCCATGGATCCGAAGTTAGTCAAAATGACTGTAGGATGTGGAATATGTCATATAAATACAAAACATATGTACAGTCCCAATGGAGTCCCAAGAATACACTGTGACTACACGCAAGGCTATTTAAAGGTACATAAGTTATTTTCTAGACAACAAGTATTCATCAACAGAGTAGAATGAATGTGTATTTAAGTATTGTTTCAGTGCTATTTTAAATTGTGCCTTTTCATTCATAAGATGTTTGAGATCAGATGGCAGGTTATTAAAAATGTGGATCCCAGCATAATATGCGCTTTTCTGAAAGCATGAGAGGTTAGCAATTGGTTTATGAAGACAGTGTTTGTGTCTTGTGTTAACACTGTGTACATCCGCATTCGTCTGAAAATGTTCTTCGTTATTTGTAATGAAGTCAATTAATGAATATGTTTATACATTCACAAGGAAAAGTTAAGATCTGTAATCTGTTAAATAGATCTACAGGAATTACGGGGGATATGCGGTAGCGTAGTTGGTTGAGGGGCTATACTACAAGCTGGAAGGTCACGGGTTCAAGTCCCGATGAGGTCATTGGATTTTTTTTTCAATTGATCTAATCCTTCCAGCCGCACTATGACCCTGGGGTCGACTCAGCCTTTAACAGAAATGAGTACCAGGAATTAATTAAATAATTTTCCTGGGGAGTAAAGCGTGGCCGGCGCTTAAGGCTGACAACCTTACTGCCATCTTTGAGCCGATTATCTAGATAATGTGGGACCTTCACCGTCTCACAACCCTATGGGCCTTCATGGCCTGGTACAGGGATAGCTTTACTTTTTTACTTTTACTTACAGGAATTATGGGATTTGACACCCATCATGATTCTAACAATTTTCATTTGCAATGTAAATACTTTTTTACTGTCAGATGAGTTATCCCAAGAAAGAGTTCCATACTTCATTAAAGAGTGAAAGTAAGCAAAATAGATTGATTTTAGAATGTCAGTGTTACTAATATGTAACATGAATCTAACTGCATAAGATGCTCTACTTAGCTTTGGAATCAACTGATCGATATGGTTTTTCCAGTTTAAATGATTATCAATTTGCAAGCGAAGGAATTTTGTGTTTACTCCATCTTCTATATATTTATCATTATATCCTATGTTTATTGGATATTGTGGTGAACTTTTTGTTACAAATTTTATTACATTTGTATTTTCTAGGTTCAGGGACAGCTTGTTTTCAGAAAACCATTTACTCATTTGCGAAAGAACCTTGCTTGATAACATGCAGAAATCATCTAAATTTTTACCAGAAATTATAACACTATTGTCATCTACATATATTATAGGTATTGATGAAGTCCTTAATGTAGGAGGGAGGTCGTTTATACAAATTATGAAAAACAGTGCCCCCAAAATTGACCCCCATGGAACTCCATGTTTTATTATTCCCCAGTTTGAGTAGGTACTTTGGATTGAATTTGATGATTTTATTTCAGTCTTTTGTTTTCTATCTGTTAGGTAGGATCTGAACCAACTTAATGTTGTTCCTTGAATGCCAAAAAAATGTAATTTAGTTAATAAAATTTCATGATTTACACAGTCAAAAGCCTTTGCCAAGTCACAGAATATTCCACCAACATGCATTTTTTTACTAATAGATTTCAACACACTGTCTGTTAACTTAAAGGCTGCATTTTCAATAGAAATTCCTTTCCTAAAGCCAAACTGTTCTGGGACTAGTATATTGTTACTCTGAAAATATAAGGTATACTACACAGTTATCAGGAACTTTAGGAGGAAAGGCAGATGTTCATTACAAAAGAGTTAGTATATATACTCATATTTTGAGTATATATAATGTTACTGATGGTGTGACTCTGTTTCATGCAAGATGAATCTTGAGTGTAGGAGGTATGCTATGGACTTGTTATGTATATGTTGAACACATACTTGTGCAGAATTTGTGTAGATTATATATTTTCATTCTGTTCTTCAAGTTAAGTGCAAATAAGAAATGTTTAATTGTAATGATTTTGGAAGTCTTACATGTATTTTGAATGTTGCCAGTGCTAGGAATGCTCAGATTCCATTAAGAATGTGACAGTATTTGTCATTCTTGAAGAAAAGGGGTATGTGGTGTCTATGTACATACATGAATTGTAATGTAAATGCTTGTACACTACATCCCCACTGAGTGGAAGTGAGTTTTGTTGTAACCTTGATGAAAGGACATCCAGGTGTTGGAAAGACTGCCCTATGACACTAAAACAGAGCCTGTGTATTACACTAACACTAATTATTGTTTACACTCTGGAATTAGTTGGTATAGAACATAGTTCTTCCCTTCAGAATATTTAGATGAGCAGGTACAAATGTGAAAATATTCATTTGATAAACTGATTTATAGTTTTATTGCTCCTCTAGGCCTTTTGATATTTGGAGATTTCAGCATATTGAAAATATTTTTTGTTCTCCAAGGCTGGCCCAGTGAGTTATTCCATGTCAGCATTGCTAAATGAATTATAATATAAGAAGCAACTAAAGAAATATCACTCATTTGTAACTCTCTATAAAGTGGTAGATTACTATACATGGGAAAATTTGTAAGGATATTTCAGGCAAATACTAATTATTGGATCAAGGATTTTCATTCTGAATTACATGTAGATAAGGTGGCTGGAGACATCACAGAATATTGGTGCTAGAGTCTTGCATGATTAGTGCTTCCATGTGAATGACTATCGAGTTTGATGTTTGGGCACATCCTAGATAAATGTTCCACAGTGATACCTATAAGAGTGCATCATATTAAATTAAATTTCTGTATTGATTTGCAGGTACAGGTAAGTTGATATTCACTGATGTTTTGCTCAAAGTTTAAACACTTCCTCACCCATACAAGTTATCTCATAAACATGATCATTATATAAAGACCTTTTTACTTGTCAACATTTATTTATTATATTATTGTAATTTTTATGTAGGAATTTATGGTATTATGTGTGCATATGAAGCATGAGAAATATCATAATTTAATATCGAAGAAAAATGAGAAAATCATGAATACTAAATTGATTTAGAAGTCATAACACATTGAAACCCAGCCAGAACTGAGTTAGAGAAAGGAAGTTTTTAAAAAAATATTTTGCACGTGTCTTGAAGTAACAAAATTTTAGCCAGACTTTTTATTTTATTTATTTTTTAAAACATTTTGTATCTTATGTTTTCTGTCTGTATTACATGGTGGGGACTATCTCCATGTAGAAGTTATCAGCTGTGGATCTGAATGTGTTAAATAACAACACACTTTCATGATATTACCATCTTGTTATAAACTATGTTATGTGACATGGACCAGTATCATCTCAAAATCCTCTATAAATTGCTAGCAGTGTAATGCATTATTAAAAGGTGATGAACGTCTGGATGAGTTGTGTGATCCATATGCCATACTGCATCAGTTCTAAATGAAGCAGCAGAGTAGCAGTGCATGAGAACTGGTGTTCATATTGCAGTAAATGATAAGACTGTGTGGCCTTTGGAGATGTGACACCATGTAGTTAGGCAGAAAATATTGGTGTTTTAGAGGAACACAGGGTAGAATAAGTGAGGAGCCATTCCCTCACACTGAATATGTTGGCAGAAGGTTGCTTCAAAACCTAGTGACCATCTGTGAAACTACAGAGTATCACATCCCAGACATTTCTGTACTTTTAAATCATCTATGTCCCTTACAAATCCTTCAGATGTTTTGAATACTTACCATCCATTCCTGCTTAGTTTCAGTAGTACTAGATCTGAGTGATACAGAAAACCAATATTAAATGTAAGGATTGTTTACAAAGGAACGTTTATTTCTCTGTAGCATAAGGCCATTATGTGCTTTGGATATGTGAAACATTGCGTTTTCTGACTTCATAAACATGAAAAATTTTAAGTGTGTTTTCACAGTCATTTGTAATTTAAATTTGATAAATATTTGTGCATATTAAATGCAAATGTGTTAACTGATGTTAATAGTAATCAAATTATTGCATAGAATAGAGGGCAAGTGGAAAGATAAGGGCTCTTTCAGTTTTATAATTTACCCTTTTGTCAGAATATTTACCTGGAATAAGGATGTAGACAGATAATGTCATGTGTACAGAGTTTCAGATTAGTTATTGGAATGTATTTCCATGTATATATGAAATATTGAAGATTATGAGAGAAACAGTATATATTGAGAGATTTGAGGTTCTCACATTGGTATTAAGATTATGGTCTCCTGAGATGTGATGCCTTGTAGGCTGGTAAATGGGTACCACTGTTCTGGAAACTGCAGCTTCAATTTTCAGGGTAGAAGAAGGGAGACAGCAGGTTTCTCAGAAATGTTGGTACACATCTAGCAAACTACACAGTGTTACATCCCAGAAGACCACCAAGACTGCAACCATAATATTCTGAACCGTTCTTAACTAATTAAGCACTACGCCACGAAGGTGTATTGGGAGTGGATGTATAGATCCACATTTTCTTGACCTCAGCACTAGCTGGAGGTGAGTGATAACATAATGTACTGTATGAAATTAATGCGCTGTGCAGTTTGTGGTGAAGTAATCCAGTCTTGCAGATATATATTTTGTTTCTAAGAGTATTATGAAGAATGAATGGTATGGATGCATGATGTGCAGCCTTCATTTGTAAATAGAATTTGTTAATATTTATAAATAAGAATCTGATTTCACACATAAATTAGATGTGGAAGATTCTGAAAGAATTGATATGATAAGGGCTCTCAAACTTCAAACCACTGAGGGGCTGCACACTTCCCCGGGTACTTCCCTGTGGGCCGCCTTGCGAACAGTGTATTTGTCCCACTGTACTGTACAGGGTTTGGACAAAATAATGGGCACACTACACATACCATAGAGATTTCTTTGTTAATATGGTGTTGGACCACCTTTTTCCTTCATTACAGCTGCACTCCTTCTTGGAATGGATTCATACAAGTTTTGAGCATTCTGTAGCAGAATGATATACAATTATTCTTGAAGAACATGTTCAAGTTGATTTAGAGCTGTTGGAGGTGGGAATCTGTTCCTCACTCTGGTCTCCAAAACTGACCACAGAGGTTCAATGATATTCAGATCTGGTGATTGAGTTGGCCAGGGAAGATGTTGAAATTCACCTTCACGCCCTTCAAACCATGGCTGAACAGTTCCAGCTGTGTGAATGGGGGCA